TGTTTACTCATCTAAAATTGGCTTGAAATTAACTTCTCAAGAAGCATCAGTGGAATTTCGGGAAGACGCGCTGAGATTGAGGTGAAAATTACTTGTGAGCTCACAGAGTAATATTGAAAAGATGAATTCAAATTACTTTCATAATAGTCTAAATTGTTACACGTACATAGATATGATATGTGAGAACATTCCGCGGAAATCCAAATTGAATTGTGAAAATTTTATAGTCCCTCTTTGGACTCACAATTATGTCACGAAGAGCTTTTCCACGAGCTTCACCTAGAAAACTATTCACTCAATATTCATGTCATCCTATCCGAAAGGAAGCTCTCCGTGTGCGCTATCAGTATCCACACTTAAATTGCTTCTTGGAAAGCTGACAAAAATGTAAATCAGCCCAGCATATAAAGCAATGGTAAATTGAAAAACTCCACCAAGTGGAAAACTCAATTTCGATTAACAATATAAAATGTGAGTTGTAGAGAGTTTTATAGCTCCAAATGAAGTGTATAGTTTGGAATTGGACAAAATGAGAGAATGTGAAGTAATGGAAATTTTGAGTAAGGAAATCGAAATAGAGTTCCAACAAAGGAAGCTCTCTCCTGAGCCATCTTTCGCCTCGTGGGGCGAGTTGGGCCCAGAGAAAAGAGTGGAATTTATACATCGACCCTGAGGAATAGTTTAGTTGGCATGAATATACAATTTATGGTGCCGTCATACAACAAAAGCATAACATCGATCGTGTGTCTCGCACCCAGAAAATCGAGCCCCTGGGATGGAAAAACGCCGCCCCATCGGTGATTATCATTATTCCATTCGCGGGGAGTCAGCAGAGAGCCAAAAACGAGGGCTTATCATAATGAAAATCATGAACCGGCCTGAAAACATGCGGAGCGTAAAACCAGAGCGCAGACCAATGAGGTGAAAATAAATATGATTTTACTAGCGTTTCATTGCATGACAGCATCCTTGATAAGATTGTGCCGTCACAATTATTGTTATCATTCATAAATCCATAGCAAATTAGCATTTCCTTCGACATGAGAAGCCCCTAGACATATCAAAGAGAGGATAAAGGGCGAGAATAGTGAGGCCCACAAAACAGACCTCACGCGAAATTACGCTGACTCGCGCTAATGCGAATAATACGCCACCCAAGCGCCAGAAGGGGTGTGAGTTTGGCCACCCTCACGAGTAATTTTAACAATCCTCCACCGTGAAATACACTTCACTAATAGATTAATTTGTCATAAGCTGTTTCACTTTGGGGTAGTTTTTGTGCCACCGCTGATACAGACACACTCTGATATGACTCACATTAGAAATGACCTCAGCCACACTGTGTAAATAATTGTTAGACACGACGTCTAACAATTTAATCTGGGGAAAAGAAAGGTGCTCGTGTGCCTTCGCGTATCCGCAAGACACTGGGAAGAGATTATTTATGTTCTGTATGTTGGGTGACACGCAAAGCCGACATAAAATATCCCTCGCCAAAGTGCCATCGTGTGAAGGAAAATTATGTAATTTGCATATATAGAAAATCAAGAATGTATAGATTATTCCCCTCGATGGGGAGTGATAGATAGCGAAGGAGCAAACACAAATTATTTGTGTTCACCTCAATTGCTGATCAAAGAACATTATTAGCAATTCAGTTTTTGGGGAGAAATAAGCGCGGAAAGAAAGTTCGGGGGTGAGATTGTATGTTTAGACTTACCACATTTACAAATTCTTGAAATGACACGGAGCCAGATCCTTTTGGTCCTTTAGATTTCAGGGCACGTTCCAGCAGCAATTCACGTTTATTGAGAGGCACTTGGGCTTGGATTTCAGGTGTTTTTAAGGCATTTATAAAATCATCTACAGGTATATCGCCGAATCCTTCAGGATCAATCTGGAAAAAAGTACACTTTTCAATATGCACAGGGAAAATCCATTCAGTTTTGCAAACATGTTTGGCTTCACATAAGCCTCTTATGAATTGCGATGAATTCTTTTGCGGTGTGTTTCTACTTTGAGGCATAATATCCCACATGAAATCCATGAAATATAAACATGAAAGCATTTTTTTCTCCCTCTCCTCAATAGAATTCAAACTCTTCCGATGTATTTCCCGGTCTTTGGTTGGGGTTGGAAAGTGTTGTGGTTTTATTAGTTGTTTGTAAAAAAGAAACACGAATGAGGAATTGCTTTAGGATTTCTAGGAAGCTCAATAACACCGTCACGAAATGCATCAATCCATTTACTTTTCATGAAATATTCATACGTATATATATATTCATGCAAGGATTTTCATTGGCCTTTAAATTTACCAGACCTTCTCGCTTTGCTTTCTGCATAAATTGTATTTTAATACGTTTATTACTCACCGTGTCAAATATTTGTCTCCATTTCTGCCAATAAATTAAGAAATTACGTTATTCCGGCATGGAAATCACCTCAGAAAGTCATATATTTTACTTACATCTTTCAGCAACTCCCGTCGAAGTTCAGCTTCATCGTAATCAGAATTTAGATCGGTGTGGTCAGTGTCGTAGACAGGTTCATCGGCACACTGTAGGTGCATGAAAAACAAGTTAAATAACCACCAATGGGGTTGGAAATAATTAAAAAAAACCACCACATTCTTCACGTGGAATCAACAGACAGATAACAATTAGATAGAGGCGAAAATACAATATCATTAATTTCTCTCTCTGCGTGTCTGTTTGTATGTCGTTTTTCTCACCCTTTCGCCCGAAAAAAAGTGGGGTGGCTTTTCACCCTTTTGGGCGCTCGTGCAGTCAGCAATATCGATTTATTCACATTGATGAGGTACACGAAATACTTAGTGAATAGCAATAATGTATGCCTCAACCTCCTTTCGCCCTCGCATTAATCACCACAAGCACACGCTCGCAGTGGCTTTTAGAGAGCAATATTGACATCATTTCAGGGAAATCAATCACACGGGTGATTAGCCTTTTGCCGTGAATTTGCCGAAGGAAGTTTGCAGTGTTGCAATTTCAGAGAAGTCATCTTCAGGATTCGGTTTTCGACACTTTTGGGGTGCTTTTTGACTTTCAATTGTCGTCACACCTCTTTCAAAATCACCCAAGTTTTCATCATAAATTCCCCATGTGTCATTATGTGGTATAGGAGCGGTTCTGGTTGGAAAATTATGTGAGAAAGGGTGGAAAAAAGGCAGCGACCACGAGGAATTCGAGAAAGAAAAAAAAAACCGCGTCCGGAAGGTGTTTGGTGGGTTGCATGCTTCGGGGCGATTTCCACGTCTCTCTCCAAGCCACGATTTATTGCACCATCGCAGAGGAAAAGTGTGCATTTGTAAGGGAAATAAGGGAGTCTCCTGTGACCGGATTGAAAGGCAAATTTGAGGTCTCTGAGCTCGACAAATTTGAATATTCATTGAGTGCACACACACACACACACAACTTCTCACCTGAGACAGTGTCCCGATCGATCCCAAACTCCCGGCAATGGTGGAAATGTGCTCCACGTCCGCCAGCGTCTCCTGCTGGCTCAGGTTCTCCTGCTGGCGGCCGAATCCTGGCCACATGCTCACACGTCACAAGCACTCACTCGCCGACTCGTTATCTCAGCCACATCTTCGGATCGGCGCCCAGGAGCGTCAGCGTGCATGGAAGAGGCGGAAGGAGTTAAAGAGGTCACTTCCATGGCAACATAGTGAGCAATAATTGAAGGAAGTAATCCAATTCCCTCCATTTCTTCACTCCATAAGGCAAGAAAAACCGAGTTTATACACAAAAGGTCTATAATATGAAACTCTATTTGGTATTTTCCGTATTTTCTTTCTAGGGTATAGAAGAAAAGCACAACAAATCATGCCACTTTTATTCACTTCTATTCGATATCAAATTTCGTATAATGAAAAAAAAGTATCCTTCGCATGGTTTGAATCAAGATTAATTCTTTCAGGATTTTATCGAAAATCCTGAACTCTTTTCCGCCCTATTTTTTTAAAAATAAAATCCATTCATTTTCTCAATTAAATTGATCGAAAATAGATCAATTTGAACTCAATGTTGGAAAGGATTTTCGGGTTTGACCTGAAGAACATGAAAATAGCTTTCAATTATTTCGGTTCTGTATCTTCTTCCTCGAACAATTATCTCACACTACGCCCTTGCTTTTTGGGGCGCGAAATCGCCGGAAGAAAAGGACTCCCTCCAAAATACAGTCACCGCCTCATCGACCAGTCAGGTGTCCGTTAGTTTCCATGTCGCAAAGTCGCAGGGGCGAAAGGCTTAACAAAAAAAATCCATATCGAGTCATTAAACTTTGGTGGGCCACCAAAGTGTCCTGCTATTTGCCGAGTACATTGGCATGGCTGTCGCGTGCTTCTGTTGTGAAAATGCCCCGGGTGTGAGCGAAGGGAGAGGCCCTCTCGCGACTCCGGCTGTTTACAAAACTCTCAGTCGGCCTGTGCAAAAATCCACCCCATGTGACTGAATCGCCATGGTTACCGCATTTCTACGGCACTCTCGACGAGAGGGAATCGATTTCGGGGCACTTGCACCGGAATCAATTTAATCGCCCGCTGCATTGCCCGCGGGCGGGGGATTTAGGCACACGCTCGCAACCCTCCGAATGCCGCTGTATCGCAGAATTCGTGCGCTCATTCTTGCGGACGAAGTCTCACCTTCACTCGCTGCACTTGGAGTCAATCCAGACACGGAAACTCTCGACAATTCCTTATCACAATCTCGCCACAACTGCGCGAAAACCGATCCGAACACTGGGAAATCACTCAGCACTGAATCCACTTCGATGTTCAACGCGTCCAGAAGGGTAATTGCCTGTATTTGAATGTGAAAAACCACGGAAAATGTCCCTGAAAGCCTCCAGTTTTCACAACACCTCCTGACTCTGGATAACTCCTGTCGGACACTGACAGCGTGACGGGGAAATGGCGCGCGGGAAGGACGCATGCGCCCAGGAAGACATCCTGCCACGAGACAATGCAAACACACATCAAATATTCTGTCTTCAGAGACTTTATTCTGCATTTAAGTCAATGCACAGCAGCTGAGCTTAATCTTCTTCATCTTCATCAACAGCCGCTCCACCCTGATCCTTCTTCAGGTTCTTCTTCTTAACACGGCCAGGTGGTCCGCCACCGAATGGTGACTTCACGGAGAAGTCAATGTGCTTCTGCGAGTCCAGACGGACGATGAACGATGGGATGTTCACCACCTGTTTGCGGACGCTGTTTGAGGAAGAGGAATTGCTATTAAAACCTATTACTTAAACACCAAGAATTCAATTACGGAAACTGTTCTGAATTGAATGTTTCCTACTTATGAAATAAACAGTGTTCTTCAACAGCGAACAGTTTATGATTAACGATATAGGATAAGGTCATTCTAGCCCTTCACTTGTCAAGATGAGACTTCCTGAGCCATCATCTTTCACTCGCAAAAGGCCATCAAGGCTGTTATCAGCATACTTACTGCACATCCTCGGGATAATCGAATCAATTCTGAATATTTGAGATACTCAAATCTCCGAGAGATTGATTCATATAATTTTCGGGGCGTGAATGAGGGCGGAACAGCCGAATGAGAGGCTCTCTCTTCCTCCTCTTACTCTCGATCCGTTCGCCCCCAATCAGTGGCACCTCAAGAGTTATTTCTCTGGACATGGAGTCTCGCCCATATGATCAAGAAATGTAGTTACCGAATGTGTCTCTGACGGATGAGGACACGAGCATGATGGTAGGACTTGGCCAAGCCCAACTTGAACACCTGAGTCTGAAGGCGACGCTCCAAGAAGTCCTCGATCTTCAAGCCCAGCACGTAATCGAGCTTCATGCGAGACTCATCCAGCACTCCAATGCGCACCAGACGCCTCAGTAGGGCATTTCCTGAGCAAGAGAGAGAGAGGGAAATTGGTGAGATTTCGGGTTCCCGGACAGAATGTGAGGTTATATCGATGAAAGCCTCAGTGTAGGATTGTTATTATTGAAGTCTCTCATTCTCAATTCGGACAAGAGGTGTTCAGAATTGTTCATCATAATAGTCTAGAGATGGATTTGGGGCTGAGGAACGAGAATTACCTTGGAACAATCTCTTGTCGTCGCGCTCCTCCAGTGTCAGCAGCTCACGAGCGGCTTTCCGGATCTTGGCCAGAGTGTACTTCACTCGCCACACCTCGCGCTTGTTGCGCAGACCATAGTCGCCGATGATTCTCAATTCCTGATCGAGACGGGCCTTCTCGTACGGCCGACGAGGGGTCACGTACGTCTTGGAGAAGACAGACGGGATGCGCTGGTTCACCATGTTCCCGACTTGGAATTCACCTAAAATCGCCAAAAGAGCACACAATTACACCAATCCTCCACTCAATTCCTATCAATCCCCATTCGTTGACATACAATAGATGAATTTCACAGACAATATTTACGGATTTCCCACAATTTTCTCACCTTTTTGTGAAAACTCGCAGATGATCCACGTTTCTCAGTGAATCGCGTGTCGAAAAGAATGAGCGCCGGAAGTTGCGGTGACAAGCCGACATTTTCGAACTTCGAAACACCAAAAACTGCAGATTTCCCACATGGCAACCCCAGAGTGACCCGAACATCTCTCCGGAAAGTGTGATGAAAGTGGCGTTACTCTTTTTTCACTCACATTTACCCCAAAAATCGAGTGGTATTTGCTGAAATTGTAGTGTAAATCTATTCTTTGGACCTTCCTGCAGTGTATTGTGGTGAAATTTCTTGGGAAAGTGTAGAAAATTGGGTGATAATTGGGCAGAGAGAAAACCGGTGTCGGGAAGTTGTGTGAGAGCTTTTTTGGGAGAAAATGGCGGATGCATCAATAGACTTGTATGCGGACGATTTGGACCAAGATTACAACCAAAAGGTGACGAGTGGCGGGGAAAAGACAATGGAAATGTGAAGATTGTGAATTGTGACGCGCTTTCTGTCTGCTTTGCAGGACGACTTCGGCGGAGATGGGGTGGATTTGTACGATGATGTGCTGACGGCGCAGCCGGGGGGCACTCCACGCTCCGATGGCGGCGGCCAAGGGGGCGACCGCTCGCTGGACAGGTCAGAGACTTCCGAGACGAATGGCGGATACCATCATGTCAGCAACAACCTGGCGCCCAATCACATGGGAAGACGCTATCAACTGTACATCGGAAACCTCAATTGGGTAAATGTTGCCTCAATTTTCTCTAGAGAAAACGCACCCAAAAAGTGGGCGAAAAAGCCGGGAAAGAAGTTCAAGACCTCGGCAAGTACCGAAGTATTTGATTTTGTCTAATGAAGGGCGAGGGATGAAAAAGAAGATGCTGTAACTTTTTCGCTAATCTGTAATTCTGTGATACGCCCAGAGAATATTACTGTAAATTGTAGATAAGTAAAGTTTGTAATTGAGAAAACACTGTGATTACTGGTAGAAAAACATGTATTTCGTGAATAGCTTAATTGATCTAATTATGCAAATTGCATATAAAAATTGATTGTGATGAATAGATTACAGAATTGACTGTATTTTGGAGAGTTCAATGCTCGATAATGTGCGCTATTTTCGCCTCTAGAATGGCTAACAGAAGACTATCTCTAAAACCTGTTAATCAGTGACCAAAAGACTTTAATTTAGAGGCAAATGTACGAATGAAAAACTTATTTTATATGATATTACTATTATTATTTTTACAAGGTTCTGAAAATTGATAACAATTGTCCAAGAAAGCCATTTATTTTATCACAATAAAATATTTGGAGTACTAATTTGGTATTTTCTTCGCACTGAAGCTTCAACAGATGCACGAATTTCTCGCTTAATCATATGCAATTTGTGCCTCTTTCAGTGGACCACGGATCAGGACATTGCGGACGTGATTGAGGATATTGGCGTGAAAGATTTTCAGGACGTGAAGTTCTTCGAGAATCGCGCCAATGGCCAATCGAAGGGCTTCTGCGTGATCACGCTAGGCTCTGAGTCGAGCATGCGCCTGACCATGGATCGCCTGCCGAAGAAGACAATGCACGGCCAGATTCCGATGGTCACGCCGGCCACGAAGCAGGCGCTGAATCAGTTCGAGAGCCAGCAGAAGACGCGCCCCAATCCGCCGCCCACGAACGGGCCTCGCGGACCACCGTCGTCCATGGGCGGCCCACCGCCGCATCAGGGCGGTCCGCCGCCCGGTCATCAGCCGCGCATGATGAACCCGAACGGGCCGCCGCACATCCGTGGGCCGCCACACATGCAGGGCCAAATGCGGCCCGGAGGTCCGCCCGGGCAGCCCGGAGGACCACGAATGGACGTGAGTAGCACACTTTTGTCACTATCTTTGGCATGATCTCGAGAATGACAGGCTCTAGAGAATATAATGGAAGAGAAAGTACAGAAATTGCACAATTTGTAAGGAGAAGATTGATAAAAAAAAATGATGCAGTTTTGCAGAGTCTTTTATGATTTTGAAGAAATGTAACAAAAAAAAATTCAATAACTACAAAATATCTTATTACCTACAGTATTTACGTAAGAAAAATGTATTTTCGTTGTGAAAGTTTTATAAAAGACAATGAAATATGAATCAAAAAAGTATTTACTTTTATGGAAAAATACAAACATTTATAAGATGAGATGGAAAAATTAATTGCTATCGACAGGAAAATGTTACATTTGTATTATTCCAATATTTTATTTGAACAAGAACTACATTAACATTTCTTTTATAACTCAAAACCTGTTAATTCTGATATTTAAGAGTAGGTAAAGTGAAACGTATGCTCTTTGTGATACTTTCTTTGAGAAGAAGTCAAGCAAGAATATTATGTTGAATTATTATTTTTTTGGTTTGATCGTGTCGTGAACATTGTTATTTTCCTTTTTCTTTATACATATACTTTTTTGTAAATCTTTTTATTTCTTGTTTCTCTATATAAACATGTTAATAGTCATTTTTCTCAAGTTGAGAATCAGTAATGTTACATTATTATGTTTTTCTTCTATTCAGTATCATTATTGGTTGTTTTTTTTTTGTTAATTCTTAGTTTTTTCCCCTACTAATATGAATCTATCTGAGTAAAATAGTGCTGTAAAATAGAGTTGTGAAGATTGAATGCAACATTACTGATTTTTATGGCCTATTCAGATGCAAATGCACCAGGGAGCGCACATGAATCAGCCACCGCAGGGGCCACAGGGGCCGCCTAGGTTCCAATCCCAGTCCCAGTGGAATGGGCCGCCGAGACCGTCCGGCCCGCCGCGCCAGGGTCCAATGCCAGGCGGGCCATCTGGACCGCCCCAGCACCGACCAATGGTAATGCCTTGGGCCACATATAAGATCACTAAACTATCAAACCTATTAGAAGAGTGTCAATCGAAGACAGAGAGAGAGAAAGAAGTTTATATAAGTCATGAAATTCACCCTTGACTGTTGCATGTACGCAATGAGTTGATATAAAGAGGAATTTGAAGAGAAATAATGTAACAAATTACAGGATAAAAGAATGAGTTGTGATTTTATCTAAAAAAAAAGAGATAAAAGAATAGATTTGTCAATGAACGCTGAACTTCTGAAGTAACCTAAAATAGTTAAGTGCTAAGTTATCTCTTAGTCATATGCAGGCTTGCTTTGTGTGCAAGAATTGTTATCTCACACTCCTCTCCTTGCCTTCCAGTTCCAAGGTGGGCCTGGCGGACCACCGCGAGGAGTGCGTCCGGATTGGAATAGGCCGCCGATGCACGGTGGATTCCCGGGTCAGGGACCGCCGCAAGGACATCCACAGGGGCCGCCTCATATGCAAGGACCCCCACGCGGTCCGCCGTCACAGCCAATGGTGGGGCCTCCACATGCGCCCCATCCACAGCCGGCGCCGCACGTGAATCCGGCCTTCTTCAACCAGAGCGGTGGTCCGGGAGCGCCTCAACATCCGCCAATTGGGCCTCCACATGGTGGGCCGCAGCAGAACATGCAGCCACATCCGCCGCCACACTTTGGCCAGGGCGCTCCGCGTGGCCCGTGGCCAGGAGCTGCCGGGAAGCCCGTGGGACCGCCATTCCCGGATCAGGGCATTCCGACGCCGCAAGTCAGTGAGGCGGAATTTGAGGAGATCATGGCGAGAAATCGCACAGTCAGCAGCTCAGCCATCGCCAGGTATTTATTGACTCTATCCACTGTTTTTAAGAGGATTTTCCATTTGATATTCCGTCTCTGCAGAGCCGTTTCTGATGCCGCCGCTGGAGAGTATTCGTCAGCCATTGAGACTCTGGTGACGGCGATTTCGCTGATAAAACAGTCTAAAGTGGCTCAGGATGAGCGCTGCAAGATCCTCATAAGCTCCCTGCAGGACACGCTGCACGGCATTGAGACGAAGAGCTACAGTCGTCGCGAGAGATCTCGCTCACGAGATCGATCTCACAGGCGAGCACGTCGCGAAAGATCCACATCGCGGTACCGTGAGCGATCACGCGAGCGCGACCGTGACCGTGACCGCGAGAGGGACAGAGACCGCGAAGGGTGAGTCAATGGACTTTGTGTTTAGCGTTTGCTTTAATGCCCTTCCGCTCTTTCTCTCTCTCCCTCTCTCTCTCTCTGGATTAGGCGCTATCACAGCGAGAGTAGCAGCTATAGGGAGAGCACTCGCGAGGGCCGCGACAGATCCAGAAGTCGTGAACGTGGCGGCGGAAGCGGAGGCGACGGAGGTGGAAATGCTGAACACTACAGAGACGAGAGGTGAGTTCTTTTGTTGCAGTTTAACTTGATAGTTGAGATTTTGATTGATCTGAGCGCGCGTTTTTGCACTGCTGCAGTCGTTCGCGTCCGAGAAAATCTTCGGAATTGGGTGGAGGTGACATGAAGTACTACATGGATCCGACACGCGACAGGGAACGCATTCGGCGTGACGATGAGAGACGACAGGATCGTGATGAGCACCGTTCGCGACATTAAACCAACACAGCCGTGCGCGCCACTCATCGATGAATGACTATTCCTCATTTTCACACACGCCAGCGTCTCTTCGGTCGAGAGATGATCATTGAAGTTTGTCATTATCCCCCCCTTCAGCTATAGTAACGTAACGCTGTATTATCATAGAATTTCCTGTGAGACTACTGCAAGCACAGATGGAGAGAACTAGTGAGAGATTTTAGGCGTTTTCCTCGTGAGGAAGACACACACACGCAGTAAAGCAGGAACTTCAACAGAGAGATGTGAATGAGAGAGAAGAGCAGTAGTCTTCAAGGGTAGATGTTGAGAAGAGTATACATACTAAAAAAAAATACTTAATGCAAGAGAGAGAGAGAGAGTGGCTGACATTTGGAAGGACTCCAACGACGAGTGGACAAAGAGGTATTTATTCATCCGAAAACATTAAGGAACGCAACTTCATCGATGGACACCGTCGTCGTGGGATGAAGAAGAATGTATTTGAAGAAAAAAAGAATCAATTAATTATTTAGAAGTAAAAATGTATGTGAAAAACCTTGAAATTGTATTTTTGTATTTATTTCCTATTTATTATTTATTTATTCTCTGATATTGTACAAAAGAAAAGTATTAGGCACTGCCTTGCAGTGTTAAGAGACATTAATTGTAGAATACATAGAGATTTTTCCAACTCTTTCCTCAAACTATGGAAAGAGAAAGTTGATTTGATGAAGATGAAAAAAAAATATCAATTTGGCTGTGAATCTTCTTAATTCTCCACAGTAATTACTCCACTTTTGTAACACAACTTGTAATTTTGTAGAAAAATTCTTTATTAGTTTAATTGTGTGTGAATGATGGTATTTTTGTTGTTCTTTTGTGAGATTAAAAAAAAAAGTCAAGACTGATCATAAAATTAAATATTTTCTAGAATTGAAACATTGTGATCTGTATCAGATCAAAACACTTTTTAATCGATTTTACCGACTTTTTGCTCTTATTTTGTATTCTCTCTCTAACTCAAAAATACTTAATAGTTCAATAGATTGTAAGACTGCCAAGAATGGGGAGGAGAAAGATGTCCTCAGAGAAACTATTGAATTGTGGGCAATTATTGAGACTCGAATTGAGTGGAAATTTATGTGAAATGCAAATTGTCCTGTTTTTTTTTCCAACAAAATATCTCACGCAGCACCATTAAATTGATGATTGCTGTTAAAATGTTAACATTCTTTTATTTATTATTTCATACTTTCTAACAAAATGTACCACAATAGATATGAAAGTATAAATGCTGTGTGATGAAAATGAAGTAAGTATTTATGGAGATGTGAATGTAAATAACTTAATATAGAGACAATTACATCTTAAACTCTTAGGGAAATTGTCATATTTTTCCTTTTCCTAAAAAGCCACGAAACGTTAGCCAAAAAAAAACCAACGCCAAAGGAAACTCTCTGCATGAACAAGGTAATGGAATTGCAATTATTTTGCGTGACACTGAGGAAGAAATGCGCTAGTATTTATGCACGTACGTTTTTCACCACGTCCTTTCTAGTTTCCACGCGGTATTTATCTGAATATTTTCTTATCCTTTTCTATGTGTAGCTATAAATGCCGTTTTTACTTGACATATCTAGAGTTTAGGATAAATTGTCTTGTATGCAGAAATATGATTGGAATATTCTAAGATTAATATTGAATAACATTTGTTCTCTTTCAAGTGAAGCCACAATTGTTCTTGCAATTTCCAAAGTTTCTGAATGATACTAAACATATTTAACAGAAATCACATTTTTGAACTGATATTTGCATTCAAGAATTGGAATGTTAAACATTAACCATAAATGTTTCTCTAGTCTTAACATTAGTTTCTCACTAAGCATATGAGTTAAAAATTAATTCAACATGTGATTTAGTTTGTTGACCGCTTGAGGGTTAATAAAACTCCCCGCTGAACTTTAAATTCCGTCGGAGAACCTAATTTTGAGTAGCTAATGTTGGTGTCCCTGCTTCCAGTCTATTTATACAGTTGTGGTGGTGAAAGAATGATGATAAGAACATTGCAAGCATAAAAACAGAATACGCAATCAAGTAAGTTTCTCTGGACTTCTTCACTCTACGCATCCTTCGACTGAGAGTGAATTCTTGTTTTCCAGGACCTCTTCTGTTGCGGATGAGACTGCTCAGCAAAGTCTTCATTGGAGCTTTGTACCTCAGCGGTGTTCCACTGCTCTGTCGCTCGCCGGCTAAATTTAACCTTGCAACAATGTCATCCTCCAGCTCAAAGTACGAGCCCGGAACACACTCCGTGGCCTTCGTCACGACGCCCGACGAGAACTCGGCGAAGAAGCTGGCACACTTGCTGCTGAACCAGAAGCTGGCCGCCTGCATCAACATCGTGCCGCAAATCACATCCATTTACGACTGGGACGGCAAAATCAGCGAAGACTCCGAAGTGCTGATGATGATCAAGACGCGCACGAGTCGCGTAGATGAGATCTGCAAGCTGGTCAGGGACAATCATTCGTACAGCGTGGCCGAAGTCATTTCTCTGCCCATCGAAAACGGGAATCCGCCGTACATGGAGTGGCTCTCGAAAAGTGTTCCGGACAAGACATAATTTTTTTTCTCTCTCTGCCCATAAGCATCTTCTGAGTCGCGAGACAAGCGCTTGCAAATTGATTTCGTAAGTTTCTACAGTGTATATTATAACAATAATTGTAAAGGAGTATGAAAATAAAATTTACAAACAATTCTCAATTTTCTATCGCCCGGCTTTTGGTGGCAGAGAACCTAGTCAGCAAAGACACAAACCATCGCCATTCTACTACAATTTCGGATTCGTATTGTCAAAAATCCCGTGTTTTGCTTTTGATAATTTCGGCAATTCGCAAACTGAGGATTTTCCTAGGTGAAAATGCAATTAACACAGTTGTTGCTGAAGAGAGCCAAAAGCAAGTGAGTAAACTCAACTCCGTCACACGGAAAGACTTCTGCTTGACGCGGCAATTAAATGAATTTTCCCCTGTTCTTCCTAGGGAAATCCTTGTTCTGATGGAGAGTGTAGTTTCCGGACATAAATACATCCAGAGGAGGGAAAGATTGGCTGACAAAATTGAGATTATCAAATTCGATCCCTACAGTAAGGAAAATGAATCACAACCAGAGGAAAGAATAATAGAAAAATCTCATGTATAATTTCAGTTCAACAAATGTGTCTCTACCGGGAGAGGAAGAAAGTGGTCAGCATAAAATGAAGAATTCTCCGTTCACTGCAAAGCTCTGTATAGTCACATTTTTTGTAAGGTTTCTCCCAAGCTGCTCAAGCAGCCCGAATCCATAGAAAATCAAACAGACCTCAGGCGTTTTTAATTGAATTACACCATCAGTAGTGAGCGGCAGTCGCGGAATTCGGTCCCACCATTGTCATTCCGTCCGGAAAGCACCTCGTGAGCGTACCTGCGTCGGCTCTCTTCGGCCGCTCTCTCGCGTGAGTTCTAGTACCGATCTCACGGCGCGACGTCATCGGTTAGTCTATTTTTGCAAATGGACCCTGAAGGTTTGTTTACTCGTTGTAAGTGAAGAATTCGCGAGAAAACATGGTGGAAATTTGACTTTCCACCACACTTAGTGCGTGTATTGTCGCCAAGGGACGCTCTGTGATACCAATATTGAGTCTCCAAGTCAGGTAAATACCGCGAAGGAGGCGCAAAAAGTCGCTCACATCATTGATTTTTTTCTCCCTCTCGCGCGCCTCGAATATGTCTGTCAGGTGAACATCGCGGTTTTTTTCGTTGTGGTGTCGCAGAGGAAAAAGCCACCAGGAAAATGACGAAGAAATTTGAGTTCAATTGGCAAATCCCCGTGCCGGAGCCACTCCTCACGGGCTCGATGTTCGATCGATGGACAGAGGAGAAGGACAACATCGAGACGGAGTTTGGGTGCCTCTTCAGGGTGGATGAATATGGATTCTTCATCTATTGGAAGAGCGAAGGCCGCGTAAGTAATCGAACACCTTTTCCGCCCATTCCCGCGCCCCACGTCGCCGTCTCGCGTCGCAAATGGCACGGTATTTTTACTTTTTACGGCCCATACGTGAGAAAAATAGGTGCGAAAGCGCCACGAACCGAGAACAATTGCGACGGACGAGAGAAGAGTTGTTGTTCTCCCTCTTATCAGCATGCCTAATTGCACAGGCATTTAGCATTGGAGAATTCACGATCTTTTATTGGCTCTCTGTCAAGTTCAAATGACTTTTCCGGATCATCGGGAAAAAGGGACGTTAAATCTCCGCAATATCCTTACAATAGAGACACTCGGTGATGATGAATGTGCTTCGCGAAGTTGCTCAGGAGATTTATGTCTTGTCTTGCCTGTTGCCTGTCAGGAGATAAGATATGCCGGTCGCACAGTTTCCAGGGATGTAGCAAAATAGAACGCACTCTGAGATTGTGCAACACGAGACGGAAAGTGCTTGGCTGGCACAGCGGTTCAGTCTCGTGACGACTTATCAAAAAAAAAACTCCAGAGACAGACCGAATTATTGGGCTTTGTCAGCGCAACAATTTCATCTCCTCTTCTCTAAATAATGTGGCAATAAAGCTTTTTACCTTCAGTATGTTTATCTTAATTGTGTTTATACGTTTGATGTACACCTATGTATTTTGATAGGTTTTTTTAGAGCGTAGATAAAAGTGTGATTGAGATTGAATTTTTCTGCACGGAAAAGCGTTTATTCAAACTCTAACTGCCATTCATATCGGCGTCTTCAATGATAAGCGTTCCATTTCTTAATTTTGCGAGAATCGTGAATACATCTTTAACCTCTAACGAGTCTTTTTGTATCAAATGAGCGCTAATTCATCTGCTCGAGAACAACTTAACAACGAACAAATTAAACATGAAAAATAAGAGAATTTTTCCAACAAAGACGAAGACTCTGGATTGAATTAATCGAATGGTTGTCCTTTTCAGGAAGGCGATGTGATCGAACTGTGCCAAGTCAGTGACATTCGTGCTGGAGGTCTTCCGAAAGATCTGAAGCTAACCAACCAACTTCTGGCACGTCACGGCGAAACTCTCGAGGAGAAATCTCTGACCATCTGTTCAGGAACGGACTACATCAATGTCAACTACCAACACATTATTTGTCCCGACGCAGCAACGGCAAAGGTGATGAAAATACTGCATTTTGTCCCCTTTTAACCTTCGTTTTACTTGATAATTTGACCTTTTTTCTTTAAGTTTTCCTCTAAACAGAAAAAAGAAACCACACTAATCTGTATGTTTTGTGACATCAGAATAGATTTTCTGATCACTTGTACTGAAATTCCTACACAAATTACACTGTAAGGATTTCTGTACAGGAGTGAATTTAACTTATTTTTTTTTATACCAATTTGTATGATTTTACCAAGTTGAGTTGTATATTTTTTCTTTAGTGACAGAATCCAAAGCATAAATGAAGAGAATAACTATGTTTTGACGCTATAACCATGAAATCTTATTCTAATTACCATATAGATTTGGTTGGAAGGATTACGGAATATAACACATAATGTAAAGGCAAATAACTTTTGTCCCATGACTTGCTTGAAGAAGCAGTAAGTGAACAAGAAATCCATACAAAATTCGAGGCATTTGCAAAGATGAATTTGGAAATGAGACACCAAAAGAAATGTGTTAAAAAATTTATTTTCTGCATGACTTTCTCTTGTCTTGTGATTTTATTACACAAATTGGAAAAGGACGTTTCTTTGCAAGCAATATTTATAAATATTTTTTAAGTTTCTCCAGAGACATTTTATGACATATTTTCCTTTTTTTTATTACTGCGCTCTCCTTAATTTAGGACACTTAACGAGACTTAACACCTCACTTTGCATGGAGTTTACTTGCATGTGTTTTTTTCTCTTTTTTCTCTTTCTTTATTTTATGTGTACTTTATCACGCGTGTAGATTTGGCAGCAAGGATTGCGAGATATTACACATAATGTTAAAATGAACAATGTTTGTCCCCGGACGAATTTAATGAAACAGTAAGTCCAACAATCTCGCCTTGATATTTTGTCATCATATTTCTTTGCTGAAAAAAAAATCTGTATTATCTCTAAAATGCCTTTCACTAGACGTATATATATATTTTATGCATTTTTGTGGTAATTTTTGTGCTATTTTATCGCAAAATGTTCCTTCTTCTGGTTTATGATATTGACTAACAATGCATTGTTCGTGAATTTGCCATTGTTAAGTGTAGCTACAAACTGTGTTGAATGCGAAAAGTGCTGGCCGGATAGTAATGATGTCACTCTTTCAGTTGGATGCGCCTCGGATTCCTCGTTGATCCCCGTGGAAAAGTACCAGTGAAAGTCGTGGCAAGGACCTTTGCTTCAGGTGCATTTGCAAGCTGACAATATTGCTAATACAATTGATAAATACCGATTGACTTTCGCCTTGCAGGAAAAACTGAAAAGCTGGTGTATCAGTGTCTGGCTGATTTGGGTCTTCCAAGTGGCAAGAATGATACAATCGAGAAGGATGACTTCACCTTTGATAAGTTCTACGAGCTGTACCACAAGATCTGTCCCAGGAATGACATTGAGGAGCTCTTCCAGAGCATCACAGAGGGAAAGGCGGAGAGTATAAATTTGGAGCAGTTCATCAATTTTCTCAACGAAAAGCAGAGAGATCCAAGACTCAATGAGATTCTCTATCCTTTCTATGATGAGAAGCGAGCCTTTGAGATTATAGAGACGTACGAGCAGGATCCAGAGGCCATTGCAGGGAGTGAGTAACTCTTAGCCAAAAAAAACCCTTCAAACAAATCACTCACTTGACTGTCTCTTCTCTTTTGCAGAGAGATTGACAAAGGATGGATTCATTCGCTACCTAATGTCGGACGAGAATGCGCCAGTCTTCCTGGATCGCCTGGACATCTACATGGACATGGACCAGCCACTGTCGCACTACTACATCAACTCTTCCCACAACACCTACTTGTCCGGGCGCCAGTTCGGCGGGAAGAGTTCGGTGGAGATGTATCGGCAGGTTCTCCTGGCCGGGTGTCGGTGTGTCGAGCTGGATTGCTGGGATGGCAAGAGTGAGGATCAGGAGCCGATCATCACCCACGGAATGGCGATGTGCACCGACATTCTCTTCAAGGATGTCATCTGTGAGTGTGACAGCGCGAACTTCCTACAGAATTCTGCGATATAATCAATTTCCCATCATTGCAGTGGCCATTCGAGACACAGCATTTGTCACATCGGACTTCCCCATCATTCTGTCCTTCGAGAATCACTGCAGTCGCTCGCAGCAGTACAAGTTGGCCAAGTACTGCGACGAGATCTTCGGGGATTTGCTGCTGAAGGAGCCCATTCCAGACTATCCACTCGAGCCGGGAGCCGTTCTTCCGCCCCCGTCGCTGCTCCTGCGCAAGATCCTGATCAAGAACAAGCGACTGAAGCCAGAGGTGGAGAAGCGAGAGCTGGAGCTCTTCCTCGAGGGTCAGTTTGTCATTGATGAGAATGAGGAGAAGGAGGACGCCAGCACTGTGGTGGAGGCGAAGAAGCCAGAAGAAATCGTTCCAATACCAGCTGCAGCATCGCAAGATGGTGCAGATGCCGAAGTGGCGGCTGTTCAGTACACGGGATCCACCACAAATGTCCACCCGTGGCTGTCGTCCATGATCAACTATGCGCAGCCGATCAAGTTCCAGACCTTCGAGGCGTCCGAGCAGAAGAACATCCACCACAACATGTCGTCCTTCGCCGAGACGACGGGCATGAATTTGCTGAAGCAGCAGGCAATTGACTTTGTCAACTACAACAAGAGACAAATGTCACGAATCTATCCCAAAGGCACGCGCGCGGACTCTTCGAACTACATGCCGCAGGTGTTCTGGAATGCCGGCTGCCAGATGGTGTCGCTCAACTTCCAGACCTCCGATCTGCCGATGCAGCTGAACCAGGGCAAGTTCGAGTACAACGGCAACTGTGGCTACCTCCTGAAGCCGGACTTTATGCGGCGCGGCGACAGGAACTTCGATCCCTTCGCGGACGCGCCCGTGGACGGCGTGATTGCCGCCCAGTGTGCCGTCCAAGTGATTGCTGGTCAATTCTTATCGGATAAGAAGGTGGGAACATATGTGGAGGTGGACATGTACGGCCTGCCGTCCGACACAGTGCGCAAGGAGTTCCGGACGCGAATGGTGCCCGCCAACGGCCTCAATCCCGTCTACAATGAGGAGCCCTTCCTCTTCCGCAAAGTCGTCCTGCCGGACTTGGCTGTGCTGCGCTTCGGCGTGTACGATGAGAACGGGAAGCTGCTGGGGCAGAGGATTCTGCCACTGGACGGCCTACAGGCGGGATACAGACACATTTCCCTCCGCACGGACGCCAACTTCCCCATGTCGCTGCCCATGCTGTTCTGCAACATCGACCTGAAGATTTATGTGCCGGACGGCTTTGAGGACTTCATGGCGGCTCTCAGTGATCCCAAGGGCTTCAACCAAGCCGCCAAGGAGAGGTCCAGCAACATGAAGTCGTTGGGCATCGAGGAGACCGGCGGCGGTGATGCGAAGATGGAGAAGAAGGAGGAGAAGAAGGAGGAACCGCCACTTGTCTTTGATCCCATCAACTTGCACAGCGTGAAGCAGGACAAGGGCTTCCAGAAGATCGCGCGGAAGCAGCAGAAGGAGCTGGAGGCGATGAAGAAGAGGCACGCCAAGGAGCGCTTAGCCACGCAGAAGCTGCACAATGCGGCGCTGGAGAAGCTGTGCAAGGGCAAAGGCAAAGATGAAATCAAGAACGATCCGTCCGTGCGAAAGGTGATCGCCGAGCAGATCACGCAGTGGACGCAGATGGACAGTGCCCACAAGAAGGAGGAGTGGGAGACGCTGCGACAGCAGCTGCAGGACCAGATTGATATCCTCAAGAGGATCATGGAGACCAATCAGTTGGCGCAGATGAAGCAACTGGAGGCGAAGCACGAGCGCGAGGTGAAGGAATTGAACTCGCGACAGGCGAAAATCTCAGTGGAGACGTCCAAAGAAGTGGCCAATGACAAGACGCTGAAGACCAAAGGCGAGAAGGATCGTCGGTTGCGTGAGAAGAAGCAGAACAACATCAAGCGCTTCATGGATGAGAAGAAGAGTGCAACGATCAAGCAGGGACGAGAGAAGGAGAAACTCAAGCTCACGCATGACAAGCAGCTTGAGGAGTTGAAGCACGACATCCAGAAGGTGAGTCTCTATTCCTCTCTCTGTTGCGCCTCAGTTTAACCTTCTCTCCATTTTCAGCTGATGGATCTCTACAAGCTCGAGGAGGAGGAGTACAATTTGTCACCAAAAACTGAGATTTTCGCTTAGTTTTCTCACTATATCTTTGCGCATTAATTTATTGTTGAACATTTCGTGAAGATGAGCTCCTTTTAAATGTTATACCGTCTCAAAGAATCAAATTATTTATCACTTTCAATGTGTTGTTGATACTGTACACCCTGTACACGTTTATTGTGGAAGAGGAGATGAGCAAATGTTGGCCAAGAATGCGATTTATTGAGCAAGTTACTAAACTATGATAAAAAAAAGCTCCTTAGCGAATTTACAACCACCATTTTAAATTTATATTATCTCATTATTATATTAAACAAAGTCACTAAAGTAAAATAAATACAACAAAACGAACCGACTGCGTTTCAATTCCGCCTCCTTTTGTGAATGTCGCAGGGATTTGAAGGATAGAAAAATGCGTTGCTGGTCTAGATCATAACTTAAACGTTTAATTGTACTTACAAAGGCTACAGCGATGACTAGAACTATTCTATCTGCGCCTCCGATTCCCGCCAGTTCCTCTGGATCATCTCCACGATCTGCGAATAGAGGCGCGACTTGGTGAAGTAGTATCCGGCGCAGAAGACGATGAACGCCCAGGCGAGGTAGAGATAGTAGTCCGTCTCGTACTCCACCTTGTTGGGCAGCGGGCCGTTGAAGTCCTCCGACGTGACGTAGGCGTTCTGGATGGACGGCGGCCAGAGATCCGTGTGCCGTGTCACGAAGTTGATGAAGCTGTTCACCGTGGACTGTGTGTCGTTGAAGCGCACCACCGGGCGTCCCTGGTGGAACAGCATCAGCGTGGGCAGCCCGATGATGCCGAACTCCGTGTTCAGATTGTGGTATTTGAAGGCGTCGATCGCCGCGAGCGTGAGATTCGGGAACACCTTGGCCAGCGCCACAAAGTGAGGCCCCATCAGAGCGCTACCGGGACAGGAGCGCGTGAAGAACAGCACCAGGACACACTTCCCGGGCAAATTGCGCTTCGTGCTGTTCCCGTGGGGCGACAGGAGGCTCACAACTTCCTTCATCGACTGCACCACCTGAACAGTCTTGTTGCCCGTGGCATTTGGGATGCACTTCACGCGCACGTTCTTCGACTTCTGACTCCCGTCCGAGTCATTGGTCGCCTGGGCCTCGTACACATCGTGTGGCAAGCACATCCTCCTCTCCCGGTGGCTGATGAAGTCCACGAAGGAGAAATTCGTCTGGCCAGTCACAGCGCTCATCTCTTCCGAGTTGGGGAGCTGAATTGCGGGGCTGCGGCCCTTCGACTCCATGAACTCACCGGTGATTATGTTGATGAGGAACTGGAGGCCCTTAAATTCATTGGCGTGGATGACGCTAAGCGGCAGGAATAGCAGGAAAATGCAGATTTTATGCATTGTTTTGGTTCACGTTTTGCTGTCATTCAGCAAATTTTGCACAATTCGAGTTGCTGTGTTTCGATTAAATTTCCGCTAGGTGGCTGCAAGATGTCTCTACATCACTGGCGCCATCAGGCGTATTTATTGAGAACTGATTCTGCCCATTTCGCGCGCTCTGTGAAATATTTCACGGCGGCGCCTTCACACTCAGAACATGAATTTTAGTTTAATCGAAAATATTTATTGGCAAAAATGTTATTATTAATTAATTTTATCGATCCGAAGAGAATTCCCTGAAGCAAAAATATATAAAGACAAGATTTACAAAAAAAGTGACTTGAGAGACTAATTACTTCCACTCTCTGATCAGTAGCGTCCGCATATCCCTGTGAATCTCAATCTTAGACTATTCCTTCACAATTTGCGGCTTGTAGTCCGGCTTTGAGGCTCTGGCGAGGGACTCGGCATAGAGAGGAAGGCGCTGAGTGAGCCTGAAGCCCCACCAATCTTTCACCTGTCGGCAGAGATTGAGATCCATCTCTGTAACCAAGAGTCCATCTCGCTGACGCGACAAGCCGGGCGTTCGAGCTCCATCGGGCGCCGTGGCGTACGTAGATCCGTAGAAGGGCCCAAAGTCCTTGTGGGCTGGCTTCTTGTCTCCCGACGTGAACTCATTGGGGAACTCTTCGGTGCCCACGCGATTGATGGCCACGGTGAAGTAGGAATTGGCGATGGCCGCGTTGCGCGCCTCGATGGCCCACAGAGGCTCACTGAGTCCACCCACAGTGGCGGACGGATTGAAGACGATCTCCGCTCCGTTGACGCCGAACATGAGCCAATTCTGCGGATGATGGCGACCGTAGCAAATGTTCACGGCGATGCGCCCGAAGGCCGTCTCGAAGACCGGATGGCCCGTGTCGCCCTCCATGTAGTATGTGGACTCGTTGAAGTCTCCCACGCGCGGGATGTGATTCTTGCGATGCTTGCCCAGGTATTGGCCAGTGTTGGAGATCACCACGGCCGTGTTCCACAGCACTTCGCCGTGCTCCTCGTCGCGCTCCAAGATTGGCGAGATGATCACCATGTTGTGCTGCCTGGCGAGATTCTTCACCCACTTTGTGGTGGTTCCAGTCTCTGCACACTCGGCGAATTCACACCAAGGCGTCTTCTCGCGCGTGCAGAATGCGAAGGGCATCGCTAAAGACATTGATCGCTCGTCAATCTACAGCAATTCCGAATTAATTGGGCTCTGTGCACTTACTCCACGCTTCCTGCAGACAAAGGATGTTCACTCCTTCCAGAGCCGCTGCCTGAATCACTTTCTCAATCTTGCCAAACAGAGCGTTTCTCTGGACATCCACAGGATCTGTCGTCTTGGCCACAATGCTGTTCTGAACGGCACCAACGCGCACGATCCTCGGCAGTCTGAGGTGCTCCTTTTGCGCCTCAAAGCGATATCCTTTCACATCGAAATCATTCTCCTTCGCGATCTTCAGCGCCTCTCCTGATATCTCGATTGTTTTCCTGCAATAAATTACAAAATAATGCTTCAGCATCACTGATAAGCTGATAACCCACACCAATTGCCAGTGATCTTACTCCTTCTCCTGGCCATAGAGAATCCTCTTCACCTCCCTCAGCTCCTCCGGTGGAATGTACTTCTCCAGAACTTCCTCCAGACTATTCAAATCACTCCTTCCAGCCATTATCAACACCACGAAAGGCACTTTTAATTGCAGGAGAATATCAAAAGAAACGCCTTATCAGAGCGCAAACGAAACGTCAACTGATCTGCGCGCTGTCGCTGGGCTTATATCAAGTCTATTTTTGTGGAAATACACTTTTAATTGTTGCCTCCATAGCTTGTTGATGTGCAAGAGTGTGTGGCGCAAGAAAACCACCCAAGACAGCACGGTTTTTGCTGTACTGAAGACACTATTTTTCGAGCAAAAAATGCTCAGTTGTTTATCTGACCATGCAAAAATTTTTACGATTATTCTCTCCCTCAGTAAAATGCCCAGTAATTGGAATGATTCACATTCCAGCGCTTCCTGGTAAGTTCTGTTCAATAATGGTAATCAAATTCATCAATTTGTCTTGTTAAATTTGTCCAGGAACTCCTCTCTATCGGGGCAATTTCGAGGAAAGTCTTCAGATCGTCCGCAAAGAGGCAGAAATCTACAAGAGATCCTCAATTGTACAATGTAAATTTGCCTTTCATGCTGAGTCTTTTGCTGATGATTGCATTCTTTCCAGAATGCTGTAATGATTGAGAACATGCACGACATTCCCTACGTTCAACAACGCGATCTCGGTCCGGAAACCGTGGCCACGATGACCAGAGTTGCTGTGGAAGTGCGAAAAGTCCTCCCGGACACGCCATTGGGAGTACAGATTCTCGCCTGTGGCAATTCTCAGGCTTTGGCCGTGGCGAAAGCCGCCGGATGTCAATTTATCCGGACTGAGGGCTTCGTTTTCAACCACATTGCTGACGAGGGATTTGTGGACGCATGCGCAGGAAGTCTGCTAAGATACCGACGATCAATTGACGCGGAGAGTGTGGCAGTTCTGACGGATGTGAAGAAGAAGCACAGCTCTCACGCGATCACAGAGGATCTGAGCCTTCTCGAAACTGCAAAAGCCGCTGAATTCTTCCTCTCCGATGGTGTCATCGTCACAGGAAGCGCCACAGGCGATCCTGTCAAGCCTAATGATCTGGACGATCTCTCAGGGAAGCTGAATATTCCCGTCCTGATCGGTTCAGGAGCCACACTGAATAACGTGAGTGAATATTTCCCAAAATGTCAGGGAATTATAGTCGGATCGCACTTCAAAAAATCCGGCAATTGGGATGATGAACTGTGTCCAGACAGAATTGACTCCTTCATGCGAAGGATTTCCGAATTAAGAGGATATAAATTTATAAATATAAAATAATTTACTGTCATATTCAATATATATAAAAAGTTTAAAAGATGCGCGAAAAAAAGTTGATGACTCTATCCTTCAAGGAAGACACGCTGGGCAGCCGCGGAATGATGCCCTCATACTGAGACATAATGGAGTCGTTAACAATAGCAATTCCACTCACCGGAGGATCCTCGAATTGAACACGACGCACGCATCCCTGCTGCTTCGCCGCCACTGGAGATTCTCCCTCCTTGACAGCATCCTTGTTGCCCTGAATCTTCCGCAGTGGGAAGAGAATGTCACGCTGCTCCTGCTCTTCATTCCGCAGCCGGAGAATCTTCCTCGGTGGCATCTGAGATGTCCTTTCTTGCGTTCTCCTCTTCAGAATATTCACCGGATTCAGGTGAAAGCAATCCCTCTTCGGATTCTCCACATCTTCAGAGTCCACTTGCATCCTGAAGACATTCTCAAAGTCCCCACGACGCTTCGGACTGAGAATTGTGTCACACTCAAAGTTCCTCACATCCTTGCGACGCCTGAGAGGTCGTCGCTTGCTGGACTCCTTTCTCAGTGTCTTCCGGAATTCAATGTGCATGGAGATGGCCTCCTGCAGAGCCACCACCCAGCTCTGTCCCTCCAGCACGTCCACTGTGCGGAAGATCACGCCGTCTCCTTGGCAGGAAACGCGAAAAGTGCCCGGAAAGAGTTCAGTGATCTTGGTTCTCTTCAGTGGAAATATGCAGCAACAGTGGAGAGAGTTCTCTAGCAGAGCGCCCCCTCTTGAGCGCTCCTTCACGATCTTGCTGTACATGAAGATGTCCGACATGAGAGCACAGTGGCGCCTGAGATAAGCTCCAGTGCTTGAGACTTTCTCCAGGACTCCCTCGCGGAAGAGCCGGCGTCCGGGCTTGATCACCGTTGGCGTGCGACTCACCAGGGCATTCTGCAGCGTTATCATCTGCTGGGTGTTCTCCTGCTCCTCCACCAGGGAATCAATGTGCTCCACAGTTGTCTCCACCTCCTTCACAGATGCCTGGAGTGCAGAAAAGTCCCCGTCTGATGGACTTGTGTAGAGAAGCACTTGCTGCAGAAGCAGTCGATATCGTGGCACTCGCTGAATCGGCACAATCAAGAGGCTGTTCAGCTTGGTCTGGACTTCCGGGCGTGACTCCGTGTTGCCCAGAAACTGCCGAAAAGCCGCATTCTTCTCTGTGAGCTCCTGCAGCTTCAGCAGAGCCTTCTTATAGTCGAAGGCATAGACAGAGTAGAGCCTGAAGAAGGGCGCCAGCTTCAGAAAAGCATCAGCCACGCGCTCTGTATCTTCTTTCAGTTCCTTCAGAAGCTCCCCATTGAGATTATACATCATCTCAATGTGACCAAAGAGCGCTGCATGTGTCACACTGTCAATTATCTGCAGATTTTGCAAGGGTTTCACGAAGAAGTCAATCAGAATCTTCAGCTGTTGCATGTAAGATTGTTCTGAAGAGATGATCTCTTGGACAGCCTGCTGTCGGAGATTTCGTCTCTTCTCCGTCTCCTCACTCTCTGCGGACAGAGTGTCCAGCAGGCGACACACTGAAAGCCAGGAAAAGGCTTTAATTCATCTTCTGTTGAGAGGAAAATTCCAATGTAACTTACTCTTCTGACGCGACTTCACAGTGAGAAGATTCCTCTGGCTCAGAACTTCCTGTAGCTCTCGGCTGAGGCATTTTTGCAGTGTTGGCGGCGTCATGAACGACTCGCGCTTGTTTCTACCACCATTAAACTGCATTTTCAGTCTATTGTCAGCAATTTTCCCTCGAGTAATCACAAACTTTTCCAAACTGCGGTGTTTGAATGCCGGTTCTCTACTTTCCAGTCACACAGAGGCGCTCGCGTCGATTTCCCAGTTCGAAAGACGGTTGAGTTTAAATACATCTATTCACCACTCTCCTTAACATTTTATTCATCATATGCAATCAATAATCGACAAGTTTCTTAACACACTTCTGAGAACTGCGATCCCGCGAGTCGGAACGACGGCGTCGTGACCTGGAACATGACCTCGATCGTCTCCTCCTGTCTCTGCAATCACTCCTGCTCCTGCTTCTGCTCTTCCTGTACCGACTGCGGCTGTCTCTCGATCTTCCGCGAGATCTCTCGCGAGATCGACGCCGATCATCGCGAGATCTTTCACGAGAGCGATCGCGACGACTTCTGTAACGATCCTCAGAGCGTTTTCGACTCCTGGAGCGTTCCACCTCGCGTGGCGCAAAGAGATCCTCCTCTTCAACACGAGTCACCGGAGACTTGGAAGCAGAGCGACTGCGACTGCTCGACGGTGTTCCGTACTTGTGGCGCAATTCTCTTTGCCTGAAAAGCGCAAGTTGGATAATTATTACCCTATTAATTAAAGATCTCTGTCAAATCACCTTTTGCGGAGTCGGAGCGCCAATTCACGCATTTCGTCATCGCGCTCTTGCTGTTGTTGCATTTGACGCTCTGTCCTCTCGATTTCAGCCTTTTTGTCGGCCTTGACTGCAAGGAAACGCGATAATTCAGTTAAAAACTTCCCTTCAAACCCTTCAAAGTACAAAGGGAGATCCTTACATTGCTTGTTGAGCAGAATCTGCATTTTGCGCTTCAGACGATCTCTGGGATTGACCTTGAAGGACGCCTCGGAGACCTGCAAAATCAACTGGTAGTTAGTGACGTGGGAAAGCCGAATGGGCGGATAGCAGAGCGACCACAGAAATCATCAGGATCTCTGTGGTGGCTCGCAGAGACTCTGTAACACTTGTGCGTGACAAATCGCTGCTTCCTTGCGTGATTTATGGAAATCGCTTGTGGGGGAGGCAAAGTGTTGGATTGACTTTTTGGGAGTTAATCTTGAACGGTATTTTGTGACCGAGGCATTTCACAAAACGAATAATTCTTACTGACTTTGGTCTCTGGTGCTGATGTTTTACCAACGATTGTGTTTGTTGAATTTGTAGCCACTCTGCTGGTCCTGCAAAAGAAACCCCAAAAGGAAAAGGGGATTAATCGCTTTGGTCATCCTGATTTTTGGAGCGTGGAAACTCACGAGCTAGAATCATTCCCTGATTTGCTTCCACCACCGTCCGTGGGCTCCGCTTCTGACGACGACGAAGAAGTCCTGTCCTCGCGCTTCCGTCCATAATATCGCTTGATAGGCACTTCGGGAGGCGGTTGCACAACCACCTCGACATTCCCTGCCGGTTTCTCTTGTGGCAACGCTGGAGCCGCCGGAACAACAGGCATCGGCTGAATGACAGGAGCTGGAGATTTACTGGGCATCTTTCTCACAGGCGGAGCCGCTGGCACACTTTTCCGTCTCTCCGGTGACGAAGATGACGTCGAGGACGAAGACGTTGATCGTCCTCCACTCCTTTTGGGCGGAGTTCGTTCACTCGTCGAAGAAGAGCTGGAAGATGAGGAACTCGAAGACGAGTAAGTTCTCTTCCGTCGATATGGAGATGACGAAGAAGACGAACTTCTTCTCGAGCGTCCTCTTCTGCGACTCCTTGACACGCGATTCCTTCTGCCACTCGACCGAGAACTGCTCCTGGATCGCCTCGAGCTCCACCGTCGCCGTCGAGAGCGACTCCGCGATCTACTTCTGCGTCTGCTTCGGCCCCACGATCGACTCCTGGATCGATGAACTGAGTTTGTCCTGAGATATCTCACCGGCTTGCCCACATACTCGACCTGGCCAGTGGCGGTCGCTGGTTTCGTCGGCGGTATGTTGTTCATGGCTTTCAGCTTGTCCAGGTTCTGCTTCACCTTCTCTGCGTACGTCATGGGTCTGCCGGTCTCCAGAAGAGCGCCCAGCGTCGTCGATTGCTCGACCTTGCTCAGCGCGTCTCCCTTGATGTTCTTATTGAAATTTATGGAAATCTTCGAGTGCGGCTGCAGCTCGTCTTCCCCGCCGAAGGATGTAATGTACGTGATTTTCCCTGAATTGACTGGCGAAGGAGAACGGGATTCGTCACTGTTGTCGTTCTTATCGCTGTTCTCCTTCAGCAGTGGCTTCTCCTCGGGAGCCGCATAGCTGGGAGGACTGAAAGGGCGCCTCGTGAGCTTCTTGTCCCTCTGAGCTCTGCGCTCTCTTCGACTCTTGCGCCCACTGAACATTATCTTCTCCTGCTCCTCCTCCTTGGCCAGTCGCAGAGCGTCCGCCTCGTCAGCGTCTTTCGTCAGGAAAGAGTAGAAGTCATTGCTCTTCATTCCATAATTCCTGCCGTATTCATTGAGCTCGTGCGCTTGACTTGTGTCCAATTTGCTCACATCTATCGACACATCCATGTCCAGTTCGGAGTCTGAGGAGTCTCCTCGCTCGCCAGACGTCGAACTCACCGCCTGGAGGGTTTCTGTGAAGTTCGTCGGCGCCGGATCTGTCTCATCATACACATATCCTATCGTGGCTCCTCCGGATTTCTTCTTAGCAGCCGCCTTCTCTGCCTCAATCTGTGCATTCACACCAAACTGCTCCTCCAAGTACAGCTGATGCAGGTACTTCTCCTCCGAGATGCCCAGGAAGTCGTTCTGCGCCAGGATGCGATACCTTTCGTAGTTCGTTTGGCGCTCTTCCTGGCTCACATCGTCCGAATCATCTGTCTTCGCCACCTGCGCTATGTAGTCCAGATGCGCCCTGCCATCGAATCTGTCTATCAAGACGTCCTGATGACCCTGCCAAGGCATCCTGCAAGAACCCAGACACCGAATCAGTCACACAGGAAGTCCTGAACTCGGGAGTTTTGAAATTCAAAATGTCTTATCAATATCACTTGCATGATAGCGGGACTGTCGCCAGCTGCCGCAATGCTCTGGTCCAGATGAATCTTGCATTTCCTCCCGTGGATCTGGATGAACTGTGTGGGATCGGCTCTCTGTAAAACACACCGGGAAAATGCTCAGACAAATCGCGAAAGCGAAGCTTCTTGCACTGCACTCACTATTCGCTCGTAGAAGTCTTGCCGACGTTCAGCTCGCTTTCTGTAGTCCACCAGCATACCACGGATCTTCCTCTCCTGTTTCCGCGCCTCATGCCACATTATTTAACTTGCTATCACAATAGAAAACACTCTAGAGGCCGAAGATCTGATAAAAATGTAGAAAATGTAGAGAGAAAATTTTCAGACTGTGTAACCTAAAACCGCAGTTTTTGACATGTCAAATTCCCCTCACCATCGCCACAATATTCACCACAACTGGAAGTTCGAAAATGGCTTCGTTCATAAAATCAGCCGTTGTGAGACAAGTTTGGGCCAAAATTTAAATTATCAAAAATATTGCGTATTTTACATGAAACAGGATATTTTTATTTGCCTACGAGTCTTTGGCAAAAGAAATAACTTTACATCAAATCCTTCTATTGCATTTAATCACCTGGAAGTGCGAAAATGCCTGGAAGGCCGCCCTCATTCAGCGAAACCCTGCAACAGTTTCCAAAAGAAAAAATCCTGCTGGATTCCTCATATATATATTTCTTGTATATAAATTAAAATAAATACATTTTCGTAATATATTCATCTTAGAGTAACACATTTATTCAACTTGTTTTCCTTCATCTTCTCTCTTGTATATAGTATATAGAATAGGCAACAAAAAATTTTTCTTTCAACTTTCTTCTTTATTTTTCACCTTTTTTTACCTCATCAATAGCAATATGTTGATAAATTTTGTTGTTTTTCAATGTGTTTACTACCTCGAAATAAATATACAACTCGAAAAAGAAAGAAAAAAAACAATATATTTTCTCTGATTTCATCATACAGAAGAAAACACAGCTTAAAGATTAAATAATAAGATGGATTTTTGTAGTCATACTCTTTTCCTTGTATTTTTTTCCATAACTTTTTTTTGTATAAAAAATTCAAAAAATTATTTCGAGATGTTTTTTTTTTGTTTAGAATCGCTTCTCACTCACGCTCACTTTCGCATCTTTCTCGCTCTTTCAATCGTTTTTTTTCTTTAATCGTAGGGGAAAAGGGGGCAAAACGAGATCATTGTCATATAATAAATTTAATTATTAAATTACCTGCGTCATCTTTTTTTCATTTTTTCTCTCACTTCTTTAATCATTAATGAATAGATTAGGAGTTGTCAAACATAACTTGATGAAATTATTTTATTATTAATTAATAATTATCCCTTTTATATTTATTCTCTTTTTCTGCTTCTTTCTTACTTCATTTTTTTTTTTACTATTCATTCCTCATAATATTTTTCTCCTTCTCTTTCTCTTGTTTTTTTTTTTTAAGTAAATATGGCAAATTCTCACAGTTTCGGTACATTCTTATTCTCTTTCACACACACTCTTTCTTTCTCCCACATTTCCTGCACACTAATTCGCTCCGCTGCACATCTTCATCATGTCTCGTGTGTCCATTCCTCCAACGCACTCTACACATTCCCATTTTGTCAGTAATTCGTGGTCTTATCGGGCGGTTGTTTCATATCTTCTTCACCTTCTTCTCTATCGAAATATTCTCTGCCTTACATGTTAAATAACTCTTTTGTAGATCTTTAATTTATCATATAATAGGTGTATATTTTATATATTCTTTATCATATTGTAATATAATAATAATAATAATAATTATATTAAAAATAGTTTGACTCACTCACACGTTTTTATCTCTTGCACATTTCATTTATTATTCCATCTCTTCACTCCCCTCTTCTTCTACACTCTGTCGCTCTCCACCTACGCATCTTTTGTCACCCTCTCCCAACCACCCCAAACCATCTCATCCCGACTCTCTCTCTCTCTCTCTCTCTCGCTCTCTTCACTCAATTTCCCAATCTTTCGCATCGCCGGAAGATCCTGGAACATTGGAAACGCTCAATTCAAACCCCGTCGTCTTCTCTGTCTGTCTGTCTTTCTCTCTACCTCGCGGACACACGCGCTACTTCTCTACTGCCCGATTTATCTGGGCGTCGCGGACGCTGCCACTCCAGCTGGCGGATGGCCACCCTTGTGGCCACCCTTGTAGCCACCCGAATGCGTTGGACGCGGCCCCAAATGACGTGGTGCTATTTTTGACACAACAGACCATTTTTTAGCCCGCCACTCACTTTCATTAAGCCTCATAAAATATTTATTACCTGGCAGCATCATATTCATGGGGTACATCCCCGGCGCGATGGGTGTCAGGGGCGGCGGACGAACGTCTGTCGGTGGCGAGCGGCGATTTGATGTCAATCCCATTGTTGGCTGTGAAGGAGCAGAAAGAAAAGGGAGATACAGTAAAATTATTCATTGCCACCGCTGTGTCATTCGAATCGTTGCAGAAAGAGCCGAGCATTTTTCCTTTTAATTAACAATAAACTCCAGTTTCGGCGCACAGCCAAAAAGGACCTAATAGATAGACAACACAGCAAAGAAGATAACATAAAACACTCTTGTCAGACAACAAATGCTCTTTCTCCCCACCCAATTAAAGTAACTTCTTCTTCTTTTGCATCTCATTAGGCATTTTTAGACACCCTGAGCTTTAATAGCAATATCTATTGCCATAATCCATTGAGTCTCATTCCTCTTCCTATCAGATAATTACACTCGCACTCTGCCTGAAATATGTATCTTGAGTTCGAAGGTCAGCAGCGCTTTTACACACCCACTCCAGAAATCCCTCTCTCGCTCTCGCTCTAATCCTTTGGCACGTGAATAATAATATCGCTGGACATGAACGCTTTGCCAATTCATTACACTTTCCCAGCTATTTAAATAGCCCAACGCGACCTTCGAGTGCTTTTGGGGCTTTCAGCTACACACAGCGGGAAAATCAATGGCACCCAAACTTACATGTGTGAAGTACGTCTGGCCGAATTTCACGTACATTCCCGCGGCTGGATTGTATGCGGCACCGATGAGGGGCTGGTGGCACGCCGTGGGATCGATTCCCACCGCAGTGGCCGTGGCAGTGGCCGGATGATGCGCCATGGGTGGATTGTGCGTGCCCCTCGCCATGTACACAGGCTGCTGCTCGCTCGAGGCAATACTGTTGGGTGAGTTGTTGCTCTCCGTCGAGTTGGTGCTCGGCGTGTTGCGCTGACTATTGCTGCGCCTGAGATCGAGATTCGCCGGCTTCGGACGTGGTCCCCGCGGTGTTGTCACCTTCTCTGCATTCATCGGCTGCATCCCATTGCCACCCGCGGCCATCGGAACGGCGTGCGGCTGGCCCTTGCCCGCAGGGCCAGTGTCGCCACAGTTGCGTGGCTTCTGGAAGGGTCCCGAGTTCACGGGTCGAGTCTGAGTGGCACTGCCTTGAGTATTGTCATGAGATAAATTCTTCCTCGGTCCCGTTGAGTGAGCACCGCCCGACTGCTGTGACATGTGACTGCCGCCGAAGGAGTTCTGCTGTCTCCCCGGAGCCCCATTGCGAGTCCGTCCACCGTTCTGCTGGCCCGAGTGCAGATGCCCCGTCTGCTGGCCACTGTTCTTCCTCTCATAGCTGTTCGTGTAGCCATTCTCTCCGCTCGCCACGGCACCGGGAAATTGTGGCCCGAAGCCATTCGTCATGATGGGAGGCGTGGGGAAGATGGGCGGACCGCCCTTCGTCATGGGTCCAGTGGGAAGCGGCAGAGGCAGCGATAGTGGAGTGCTTGGCGCCGACTGTGGCGTTCCCGAGCTCTGAGCATTGAAGGAGTTCTGCGCGGAATCCGAGTGCGTGGGGTTCTGATGCGCCTGCGGTGCCGGCTGAGACTGCGACGAGGACATCACGCCGTATCTGATCAAAAAGAAAAATCTTCGTTAGTAACAATTCCCAGTGTGTACAAGCGTGATGGGAGAGCAACCTTATCTTCACGCCATCCGTTCCCGCGTGATGAGCATGAGGATGATGAGGCAAGTGCGGAACGGCCGCACCAGCGGGTCCAGGCACAGTCGCCGGCGACGCGTATGGAAGCATGTTGGGATAGACAGGTTGTGGTAAAGCGTACATAGTGGCCGGATCGCCGGTGGCGACTGGAACACCCGCCGATCCAAAGGGATTATTGAACGTTGTCGTTTGCGGCGTGGATGGATTTGACCCATGGCTCTGCTGAGAGACATTCTGCGGCGGACTACCTCTCTTGCTACTTCCCCCAGCGGCCCCATTCACCGTAGGTGCCGGATGCGGCACCAGCTGCGGCTGCGGTACGTAGTACGTCGTGGCCATCGGCTGGCCCCAGTAGCCCTGATATGTCGTGGTGCCGTTGTACGTGGGATACGGATACGTCATGGTAGGATACGCAGGGATTGGGTACTGGGGCGTGGCCGCAGCTGCCGCCGGACTGCCGAACTGATCCGTGGCCGCCGTGTAGACCACCTGGCCCTGAGTGTACAGCGGGCCGCTCGAGTAGGCAGTGGGGGCGTACGGCGTCATGGGAACCACTGTGGCGGCGGCCGCCGCTGCCGGCTGGTAGAGAGCGGCCGTGGGCGTTGGCGCCGGCATCAGGCCAGAGTCGCGCGGTGTGCCTGCCTGGTCGTACATGGGCAGGAAGTAGCCGGACATCTCAGACTCCATAGGAGGCGGATAAGCGTACACCATCGGCGGAACGGCGTACACGCTTCCGTCCGGCTGCAAGGGAAGAAAAAACAAACATCGTTCAGATGTTGCCCTAGAGCTATTGGCCAGTGAAGGCGACCTACCCCTTGCTGATATGTGGGGAATGGGGCGTTGGGGGCAGGAAACATAGCACCATTCTCCATGGCTGGATACCCCGTTGTGGTCGTATAGCCCATGACAGGTATCACAGACGGCACCACGGACGACTTGGCCAGGGACGTGTCTCCCTGCCTGGGATGCTGGTGGTGCTGCACCCTGATCGTCTCCTGTGCATTATTGCTGCTGTGAGTGGCATTAGTATGTGACGCCGACGATGGCTGATGGGGATGATTAGTGGCGCTTTGGGTGCCGGAGGTGGTAGTGAATGTGGTGGTGCTCATGGCATTCGTGACTGTTGTGCTGGGAACCACCACGGACCCCGTGGTTGTCGCCACGGTGGATGTGGAGGAAGCAGTTGTTGTTAAGTAAGCAGATTCGCAATTGATTGTGGCTGTTGTGCTTGCCGGTGTTGCACCTGTGCTTTGATTAATCGCAATTGGTGGCTGATGTGAGGGTGAGCAAGAGACAGAGAGAGAGAAAGAGAGAGAGCGACACAGAAAGGTTCAGAGTTAGATATGGATGATATTAGGCGAATTTCTTTCGTCACTACAACTTAACACTATATTTATATTTGGTGAATGTACGTTTTGTGAATTGCAAACTTACGACTTCATTCACTGCCACCTCTTGAAGAGTCACCACCTCTTGTATGGGAATATTTGGACTAGTCGCTTGACTTTTCTGCATTTTCTGCGGCGATTTGAGATCATCCACCTGATGCTGTTGCTGTGCCGGAATCTCCGATTGCCTGACATCGACATCCTCCTCCTCCTCAATTTGGGGACTAGTTAAATCTACACAAGAACACATCATCATTGTATTTTTTTCCTTCCATCACACACATCATAATCTCTCCCATCATTTCATACCTTCTGTGGAAGAGTTTATCGTTTGATTCTCCAGAATAACGCTGTGCGTCAAACTATTACTCTCATTGCCATCACAATTCTCATTGTTCCTCATTGATGTCTTTGTCTTGTCATACTTCTTGCTTCGTGGCACATGTGTTGGAGGTTTTATCATTATATTATTGTTATTGTTATTGTGAAGATTTCCTGGTGGCAAATTTGACGGATCAAATAAATACAGTGAACTGAAAATACAAGTTAAACAACCACATATTACTGCCAACCTTCTTTTTCGTTCTCCTTCATAAAAAAACAACATTTTTTTTATTAAAATTCTTTTTTACAGGAAAATATAAAAAGGAAAAGAGATAGTAAAAAATGAAAATCATCTGTTTCAATATGAATCAATTTGTGTGAAAGGTATGAAGTTGAAAAGAAAATTGAGAAATGTGGGATAGTGAAAGACAATCTTCTTCGCAAAATGCTCGTTTTGCACGCAGGATCAATCCAATAAAGCACAGCGGTAAGATTTGTGTCTGCCAGTGTGTGACTTTGGTCTTGTGTGAGCCTTGGGATGTTGGTAAGAGCGAAAGAATAAAAAAGCGAGTATAGGTACTCGATAAATTGTGTTTTGGCTTAGGCACAATGTTACCGGAATGAAGCTCAACAATCGCACTGATTAATGGCCACATGAATAAAAAAAAGCACAATTATTCACCATAGAGAAGCGCATTCTCTCGCCCAATGATGAGGAACAATTGTGCAAAAATTTTATAGCAAGCAATATTTTAATTTATATTGCTCAACAATTGCACAACTAATTGCCATTCATGGTCTCTCACCATCAACATATACACATTTCTCATTGTTCCTCACCATCAACAGCCATCATTCTGCAGTGATGGGCTAAATTGTGAAAATTATCATCACAGTTTCTCGAGTGTTTTTGCCTTTTCACGAGTCATTTCACGACAGCAAAGTGTGTGTTTTTGTGTGTTAGAAAAAGAAAAAAAAAATGTTCTTGTTGCTCTTGTTTTGTGTGTCTCTTTTCCTATGTTTTCTAGTGCATCACCAGTATAAGCAACAAAAATGTGAATGTAATTTTGAGAACATAAGAATGCTTTAAAAAATTACTATAAACAGAAATTGCGCATGAAAGAATTATTCTTCGCTTCCTCTCTCTCTCTCTCTTCTTCACGCAGTAAGGAAAAGCGAGCAAGATTGTGTATAGTGGCAGAACAATTCAAGAAAAAAAACTATAAAAACATCTCTTTTATGGCTATTTGAACAAATAAGAGAATTAATGCAAGACAAAGAAAAATGAGAACACGATTGACGAGACTATAGTTACCCGTCCTGATTGACAATGGGCTGCAGTGTTTGCGGATCAATGAGGACACTACCGCGCGGCACACTGGCCATATCCGTCACGGCCCACACGACACCGCGGGCAGCTGGCGACGGGAGCACGGATTGTGGCTCAGGCGTGTGATCGCCGCTACCGTAACCAGTCGGTGACGGTGTTATGGAATCAGAACGAAGAGATTGTGTTTGTGTTTTGTATCTACAAACACAATTGGAACTTCTTTTAGAATTACAGAATTTGAGAAATAAAGAGGACATTAGATACCATATAGGTGGAGGACATCATTCTAGTCACTCTCTTATCATTGATCTACTCGAATCCTTGAACAGACTAGCAACTAGGGCTTATATACACATGTCACAGACAGATCAGGGAATGTTATCGTCCATGGAATGGCCAGAGGAACCAACAGACTGCAGATTTAAGGCATAAAAGACCGACAAAAAAAACTCCCATAAATCCAAACTTTTCATCTCTTGATCCCTTTGGCCAAACCATGTGCGGTATGATAGAAATGCATTTTGAGCAACTCACCCACTGCTCGACGGCGAACACCTCCAGGGTGTGTTTGTGCTGCCAACGGAGTCCTGCTTGGAAAACAGTCGCGGTCCTGCACTCTTGGTAGACGTCACCGAATCACCACGGGACAAATTATGGCCATGCGGTGCTGTGGACTGCAATGGACCTCCATACCCGCCGAAGCTGTGTGATTTCGACACACACGGGCGTCCATCACCTCTGGTGTCCACCGACTGCCAAGACAGGTCGAGAATGAGATTTAGTGCGCACGTAGATTGCAAATTTGTGGGCGACATTACCAGAGATTGAACCTTCAGGAGGCGATTATTTTGGGCCATTTTGTGCCTGCCAGAGTTCTCTGAGCTCTCAGAGCTCGACCATGGCCAGTGTTGCTCCTCCATTGAGCACTCACCACCATCGCGGTCCTTGAAAATCCTCCTTCGCGCGCGCTCGTACTCCTCCTCGCGCTCCTCGAAGCTCTTCGATTTGCGATCCAGCATCGCACGATCCGGACACGGCAGCAAACCCTGACGATACTCATCGAAGCTGTGTGAATCTCGCTTCAGAATTGACTTGCGTGGCTCATCAATGTCGCGAATGAGCGTCTCGAAGCGGATCTTGAAAGGGAAAAACACAGAGAGTCAAGAAGACAAATTATGAAAAATGTAAAACGTGGCAAAAGTCCTGCTCTTCTAAAAATGATTTTGCTAAAAGGAGAGACAAGGCCGAAAGAACAACAACTTTGGAAAATTGGAAGTTTACCAACAATTTTCGTATGGTCAGGAAAATTTATATGATTCACCATATTCATTGAAGTTTAACAGAGTTTGAAGATAGCATACACTTTTTACCAAATTATGTAACTTTCTCGGAAACAATGACATCACTATTATCTTTTGGAGAGAGGGAAAAATAATTTAGTGCACAAAACTTCTTTCACAGAATTTCAATTTCACCCCAACAATGTTGGTATATACTTGTAAAAGTTGCAAGTTCTTCGAAATTACACTTATTTCCCCTAAGAGCTGTCTGCGAAATTCCCCCACTTCTTTTTTTTTCACCAAAACTTTTTTGCTCGATAAATTAAATATTGAACAAAGCAAATTTAAACTGAACTTAATTAATGACTATTAAACAAAATTAAGCGCTAAATTTCACAAAACTCCCCGGGAAAAATTCCTCGAAATCATTCCGTATGTTGTGTAAATTTTATTATTCTTCACTGTGAAATTATGTAGCTGGAAAAATCTGGAAATTCATTTTCCCCATCATTATATGTTGCATAATACATGTACATCTAATTGGAAGCCACCCAGGAACATCATTTTCAAACAGCAGTTCTGCTGCATGTTAAACTTCCCCATTTAACTAAATTTCACACATTTATCAGTGATGTGCGACCCCACCTCATCACCCACAAAATACATTGCAGTGCAATACTCACTTCTGGAACTCTCGTGTTCTTGGTAACTTCGGCTATTACACAGGTCTGGGTTGCATCGACATTGTGGTCCATGCCAAAATAGGCGGCTGTCCGGTGAATTAGCATTCTGTTGTATGACGATGCTGGAGGGAATTTTATCTGACTACGACTGCAATTTCGAGAGAGGGAGAAATTGTCAGATAACGCCAAAATAGAGGAAGATTGCAAGAAAAACGGCCTCTTCTGCCAACAAACTTTCTTCCAGTAAACATTTTCGCTCTTTACAGGATTGAGGTTAACAGTTTCGAAAAGTATACACTAAGGGCATAGTGTGATATATTTCCCTTGAAAACATTTCTTGGCCACACACACAGTTGTGGATAAATACCAACAAAGTTAGATCTTCATAAGCCCACCGTACTTTAGCACGTTCTGCTTTATTAGGGACACAAGTCCTCTCTCTCTGTGGCTTCTTCACATTTGTACTTGCTATGACTTTCATAAAGCTATTGGATAAACATGGGTGAAAAGTTTCATGATTTTCTATACACTTCATTTACTCTTCTTCCACATGTTGTGAATGCTTTAGATTGGATTGTGTTTTTCACTTGGAAAACACTATCCAGATAGCTGGATAATTTGAAATACAAAAAAAAAACAGTAATAACAACAGCGATACTCACGATCTGTCATACACTAAGGCAAGTAACTCCTTTTCTATGCGAAGCAACATTGTTCTGTCTTTTATGTTCTTATTCAGCGTCTCCTTGAAGAACTGTATCAGATCCACTCCATTTTGATCAGTATATTGTTCCGATAAGTTATCTACTGAAAGTACACAAAGGCAACCGATTAGGAAAAGAGGTCACGCGGAATGAATGGAGACGGAGGATTTGTGTTACCTCCAGCACAGCCTCCATTTCCACTCGCACCACTCCCCTCTGCACTGGACGAGGAGCCCATTGCCTTGAGTCGTGGCTTCGTACCTTTGGCACTTGGACCATTGCGGTGCTTCTTCCCGCCACGCTCGGAATTGCCACGTCCACCCGCCGGTCCGTCCGGTGGACTATCGCCACTCTCACCCTCGTAATTGCATTGCCCATCGCGCACTCCCCGGCTGTCCTTCTCATAGGAATGCGGCCCCTGCGGCGAGGGCGCCGGACTAGTATCCACAATGGCACTGTTCGAGTGCTGCGAGCACGGCGACACGCTGCCCGGAGAGTGCTGGTGCCGATGGTGAGGATGATGATGGTGGCTGGGTATGCTGATGGTCTCCGTGTTCGTGCCACTGCTCGTGTGATTGCTCATGGGCGCCTTGGGGCTCATCTGCTGACCCACACTCGCCTTGTCGCCCGCGTTGCGCGGCGACTTGGACTTTGGCGGCGTCAATTTGGGAAAGTCCACGTCCAGTTGACTCCGACCCCCGTCATCCATGGAGAAGATGATCGGCGGTGACACTTGCGATTGCTGCTGAGATTGCTGCGTTACAATAACGGATGGCGTATCGTGAACGTTGGGGGACGGACTCCCCGAAGTGGGTGATGTCGATGTGGCTGATGATTGTACATGGAGGCGAGATTCACTCGATGTGGCAGGAGTTGTGTCGCACGACGACACACTTGCCGTGTTCACTGGCGCGCCAGATGAAGTCATTGGCGAGGACGCGGTGCTCGTCAGCAAGTCAGATCGTGGTGTCGGTGTTCGTGGTGGTGACGTTGATTCACGCATAGCATGACTCCGTGTTAGATGTTTACCCTTGGCACCGCCACCCTAAAAATAGCCAGCGATTCAAGAAATAAAAAATGTGCCAACATTAAAAATCACCACACTCACTATACAGAATCAATTGTTTGTTGCTTCCTAATATTATTTATAAAATATCACAGAACGCTGCTCATGCTACGCCCGTCGCTATCAATGAACTGCCTCTACAGCACCGGAAATATCCTCTATAATTCATTGTCAAAATCGATTCATTCGAAAAAGCTCTCTTGCATGAGAATCCAAACCACATTCATCATACTTAATATGCATTGTTTATTCACATATGATGGGGATAAAGTGGATCAGAATTCCATTAGAAAGTCTAAGAAAATCTAGAATAGTATGCTAAATGGCTGAGTAAACATATTCATCGCAATAGATTGCATATTAACTGCACTGACCTCTCAGATTTGCTAATAATAATAGACTCTCACAGAGACATTAATAGAGCATCTCTAAGTCAAACAAATTGTATTTTCTGCACAAATATACCTCGAAAATATATTATAATGCCATCATATCTTATATCTCTGCATAAAGCAAAGTGAAGGAGAACAGAAAGCGTTTCGAGATTCTCGATTATCCTTCTTATTGGATTTGATTTGTAAGTACCAACATAGAAACTTAATAAGACGGGTGAAATGGGACGTTGAAAACCTTTATAAATAATAGAATCTGACTAGTTTTTTCGCTTTGCCAATTTTAATTAATCACTTGCTAAAAACTTCATTCCAAAGAAAGATTTTTTTTTAAATTAAAACTGACACAATTAAAATGCATAGAAAACTAGGTCAATAAATTCAAAATTCATTGCAATTGTTATTACAAAACATTCATATTCTGAGAGGAAATTAAAAAAAAATTCTAGCTTTCATTATAAAAAAAGGAAATGGAAACACTCAAATTCACGCCAAATGTGATAAAACTGTCAATTCCTTCTGTGCGCACTCTTCTATTTATTCGAACACCATCAAGTCAACTAGATAAAATTCCAGAACAATTATTCAGTAGCATTTAGAATGGGAAGATACTGTCATTGGAACACAGCCAAGTCTGGTTCTCTCATTTACCACTCACATCCATTCTGAAATATCATGAAAACCGTATCCTTAATTTCCAGTCTATATTTTAAAAGGCACAAAGCACTGTCTACGTCCAGAAGTGGAAGAAAAAGTGAGTGTGTGACACTCTCTTTCATATCCATTTGTATTAATGACACTAAATTGGATCTTTACGATAATGTACTGGCGGTGGAGCGATAAAGAAGCCCAACTGTAATGCATGGAAGACGGAGAGGACAAAAACTGCGCCAAACAAGATAATGTCAGATCCTTTTGAAGGCATTCCGCCACTTGCATATGGATAATTAAGTATAATAAAATTTCACAGAGAAAAGGCATTATCATAATATCGCAATTACTTCATACAAAAGCTTTTCACATTTTCCTTTCCACTTTCATCCCTCTCTCACCCCCACGACCTCTCCTTGCATGTGCCATTTTTCCATCATCCCATTTCATCGTCCTCTTTTTTGTCTCTTCACTTCCTCTATTCCCATGCTAGTGACGGTTTTAGTTGCTTTTAAGAAGGAAAACAACGAGCTATGACCCTGACATGAAATAGACCTTTTCAGAATAAAATACTCTGCCACCGCTCACACCTTTCCCACCACCCACTGGCCATGCCACCCCTTTTCCGGGCCGCCTCCCTCTTTCTCTATCGCACACCACTGAGCGTGCAGAGCGAGTGAAGGAGCGCGCGTGTATACAGGCTCAACACTGACCCGAAAATTGCTGACTTGAACCACTCGCTCTCGTTCTTTCGCCCCCCATTCGAAAGGAGGGGCGGGAAAATGGGGTGGATGAAGTCGGTCCCTGGCCGATTATGGTTGAAAATCAATAAAATACAACCCATTGAATAAAGCCACATGCCTCGCACACACACACTCAAGTCCGCCCCTCAAATGAATACCTGCAGAATGTGTACACAATATACAGGCAGAGAGGAAAAGAGTGGAAAAAGTTCTAGGTGGAAAATTAACATTGAAGCGGCTTTCAGGGAAAAAATCAATGTGCTCTCTATACATCAAGAATCCGACACTCATTGAAACCTTTTGTAAGGTAATTGCGTGTAATCTTGCATCAAGAATCGCAAATAAACCAATTCATGCTTCAAAATAACACCCTTCAGCTGCACTCAGATTGCACAAATATGTGGAAATCGCCATTTCTGTCACAACTGACATATTCTCAGAGGGTGAGAATTATTACATGAACTTTTATCAACTTTTCCCGCAATATTTCACTCTCCAACTCCTTCAGCATGGCAAAAGCAGCGGACAAAATTGTGAAAGTGCAAAATGCTAACCTTGAAAAGGTGTTTAGATTGCGTGCTTCAGGGGTGACAGGTAGAAACGACGGTCTAATGGACTCAAAATGGAGGAAGTGACGACACGTCAGATTTCTCCTTTAATCACCCCACACAGAACAGTAGCACAGCAATCAAGAAAATTTATGTAAAAAATCATTTATGATTAATTTATGTCATTTCTCTTTTCCCTCATATCACACACCATTTGCTCTCTCTAGGGGAAAGCAGAGCAACATTTAGACAGTGATTGAGAAGATTTTCCATCGTGAAAACTGATATTCATTGAATTGTGCGCATCACTCTTTCACCAACATTGCCCCGCTCTTCTCTAAGCTCGCGAAATAAATTCTCAAACTTTCCACATGGCGAGCACTAAAAAATATTTGTCGGAACTTCCGAGCAGATTATCTTTATTTCACCACCATATTCTATGAGGCAAAAGCATAGCAGAGTAATGCTTGGAAGAGTTGTTATTTATTGCCACGTGAATTGTTCGCGAAGTGCTGTTCCTCCTTAACACGGCAGTCCGTGAAGGGGAGAAAAGAAATGACGCATTTACTAAACGCTTCTCTCCCTTTTTCAGACATATCCTTCATACACCACGAAAATATTTATCATGCACGTGTGTGTTATGCCTTGAAGGAATGTAATTATAAAATTTGATTTCATAGACGGTATGCTCTACCGTAAATTCAATGGAGGATTACATACAAGAAACCCAATTTCGTGCACATTGTATGAGAGATTCAAGAGGGGACAGCAACTAACCCTATTTTACCTCCAATTGTATATTGAAGGGACATTCCATTTCACGTTGAATTTGACACATTGTCAAACCAACAGATTGATGGTCAATACCAAATATATCATACACTCTATTCCGGCTGATATGCGAGTGTATTCCATTCTCATCAATACATCAATTTTAATTGCATTTTACAACAATTACTACTATCGATTACATTTGCAAAATTCAACAACATGAACACATTTTACATACAGGAAGAATTAGTTGTTGTCCCTTTTCCACCGTTACTTTTGCTGATTTTCAGCAAAACTCCGCATTTGATGTACACATTGTGATGTTATAAGCGCAAATTTAGAGCTCTAACCTACACCATACTTATGTACATTACATATATATGTACATAAGGGTTGTTTATCAAATTTCTCTCACTCTCTTCGTGTCTGTTTTCTCTATCTTCTCCATGTAATCCCCTCACTCTTCAACACAGAATTCTGCAACTAAAGCCTGTATCAATTCAGAGACAACAATGAAATTGTCAAGAAGAAGAGCGCCAGAAAATGATATGTTTGATAAGCATTTCTTGTGTGTTCTCCGTTCTATCTCTCTCTCTCTCACACACACACATTCGCATTCGCTTTCCTTCATCAGCCGCGAAAAGCTCCGTTCAAAGAATCCCACTGAAATCTTGGCATATACGTATGGCATTAGATTCATGAAATTTACACTTAGCAATTTAAACATGTGCGCCTTACATGTATGTATTATAATATTTACTCGCTAGTCAAAGTGAGTTAAAACACCTTGAATAAAATATTAATGAAATTTCATGATGTGATCTCTTGTGAATAAATAACTGGAGCCAGAGGCAAAAAATGAAAGAGATTCTCCACATTCTCACCATATCAAATATTATGTATGTGCATACACATAGGTAATCACATTTTGCAGCTTGTGTAGAAATGTTTGTGTACCCAGTGACAATGAGAATATACAAGGAGTGCAAAGGCATGTAACATTTTTCAAAAGAAATAAGTTAAATAAGCGTCTATCGAAAAATAAAATGGCGGATGAAGTGGAAAAAGTTTTTAAAACTGGTAATTATGAGAAAATCAATAGCAATTACGATATTTCAAGCAACCAAAACTGTATGAAGAGATAGACAGAAAGATAGAGAGAAACTTAGGGTGAGTCAGAGAAAACCCACCCCCAGTGTATAATAATTTAAATAGGAATGAGCAAGAATGTGAGCTTTCTTCAAACAGGAGGTGAAGGAATTTTTCGCCCTCACCTTCAATCGATAGTAAAAAGAGAGACGATGAGGGTGAAAAAGGTGAAGGTATTCATGTCAAAGTCAAGGCAATGATCTCGTGACCTCAAATTGATTCATTATGGGGAAGTAATACGAATTTTTATCCATCAATCAATCCCCATACACACTGTATTACTCATAAAATTTCCCTTTTATTGAATTAACAAGGCTAAAGGAATGATTTTACACCGTTTCTCCTCTTACACTGTTTCTATGAATTATTGATATTGCTATATAAGCAGCAGGAGTCACTCGAAAGCTTCCTAAAGCATAAAGAGAGATGAAGAAAAAGTGTCACAGAGAAATATAGTGTCAAGGGAAAAGAGAATCTTATGAAAATTTTATCTCATCCACAACCAGAAAAGCTTTTTCTTCATCTCAATTCAGTATATCATGTTTAAACCCCTAATTTAATTATACTTAACCTACTTTGACACAGACAAGAAAATGTAATATATAATTTTATACTTTTCACATTGAAAATTGTGCGCAGCGCTTGTCTGACCCTCTTATATTTTCACCCTTCATATGAATTTTGCGGATGAAAAGTGACACATTTTCCCAATTGTAATCTTTCCCTCCTTGATTAATTATTTCTCAGCACAGCTTGTGGGCGGATATAATTGTATAAGCGGTTGTGCGGGGTGAAAATTATCATATCAGTGAGACATCGTTTGCGTGATGAAAGCTCTCTTCAGGATTTTCTCAACCCTTTCATCACACTCGCGCTTTCTCTCATTGAATCGCTTCCAATGTCGCCGGCTCACATTTAGGAGACTTGATAACTCACGCATTCTCAAGATGATTTTCCCACCCTCGAACGCACCATTTTTCTTTTTTCTGTCTCTATGCTGGAAATAAAAATGTTTTATTTCGCCCATAAACCACCCGCTGAGGGGAGAAACAAAAAACATCCCCACTCCGGGGAACTTATATCATTAACCTTGCTTGTCAAATATGTTACCCTTTTGTCTCTTGTATGCCTTTATAAGCACAAAGTCATCAAATTGCCCGCAATAAATCTCATTTTCAACCCCCGTCATTTTATCTCGTCTCCCTCAGCCGTATTGACATCTTTCAGCACTCGCTTTCATCCTATTAGCGACCACGAGATATTATTAATTTTGTATCATAATAATCATAATGATAATGGTGATTGCGATGAGATTTAACCCTCAACATGATTAAGTGAGAGCTTTCCATCCTTTCTGCATTATTCTTTCCATTTTACATACATTTTGCCAGCAGAGAACAAGAGAGAATTTTGTTATTTGTGAAAATGTTCTCAACACAATTTTCCCTCGCTGAATTTGTGCCTTTAAGTACATTATAATCCACAGAGAGAATAATAAATTTGACAATATGTACTCGTGCTCGTCATATTTTGCGATTAGCCCGCCAAATACTCTTACACAAGCTCACATATCTATTCAATCTTTCGCAGTATCATTGTCATGCAGGAACACACGATGTATCCTAACCTAATGCGGCTGAAATTTCAGCAAAGCTCACGCCACTGATTACACTACGCTGTTATATCAACAATTCGGCACTTTATATAGGAAAGTATTAAATACTGAACATCATATCCTAGACATTATGTGAGACTTTGTGTTAATGCTTCAAGATGAAGGATCAGAGAGAAGGGAAATCATTAATCATTTTTCACACTACACACGGTACATTACTAACAGCGGGGAAAATTATTTTCCACTATACTCACGAAATACAATCAAGGATATTCAAAAGGTTGAGTGAAAAATGATGGCAAAATATGCAATTTATATCAGTAGATATTTCACCCGTCTAATGGTAAAAATATCCACGCAGGACTCTGACGTAAGTGTATATGAAATAATCATCCGCAAGATAAAATACCAACAGCCAAGCGGGAATTATACAATTTCCTCTTGCTACTTGACCCTCCACATTGCTCGTGCCTCATGTTGTGTATCTGATCAAACTGTATTAATTCGTTTCAGAGCCCCAGACACAGCAAGACATTTGTGTGCCACCAACCCTTTTTCCCTCGCCACACCACGTGATTTATGACGATGTCCTCCAAAGTGGACAGAGCTTTCAATTTCACCCTCTGTTGTGTCTTCGCACATCCTGTTCGTAAAGGCCCCAAGTTCCCCATTAAACCAAGTACAACGAGTGTCTCTCCGACCCTTCTCATTTTTTTTTCTCAATATCAGGAGTAATTGTAAACATTTTCAAATCAAATTACTCTTCACTTCAACTCTAATAAACCTATTAAGTCTGAGCAATCACTGAGAAATACTAAATCTCCGAAGACACAGAAATTATGTTTTTACTCAAAATTAAAATTCCAACTTTTTGGGATACAAACAAACTTTATATTCTCCTCCTGGGGTTCATTTAGCATCAACATTCTTGTAGCAATTACAACACATTCGAGCGTAACATGATTAGAGTGGCAACAATCAAGGCTCCCCCACAGAGAAATTCTACACACAGCGTACGAATTTGCGAAAGGGTAAATTATGTCTATGTGTGTACAATTATAGTTGGTGGAAACCACATTCCATTGCAAAAAGATTTTAATGAAATAGGTAAGTTAAATTAATTACAAACAAGTTAGAAACACATTTTGAGTTAATATCCAAGGTTTAAAACCAGGGGTGAGATCTTTCATGTAATTTCATCGTGTTCACCACAAGGCATTTAAGATCAATTTGCCAAAAAGGATAAATATGAAACATTGCACACATTTATTATACCGAGAAATCCGCTTCCGTTTTATACACTTCCTGGGAATCGTGATATTATAGGGGGAGGGGATAAAAAGCGATCAATATTTGATGTGAAACAGGTGTACATGAGGTTACTTGCCATATTAATTAATAACGTATCCAATTGGCTGAAAGCTCTTCAAATATTATTATGACTACTATTTGTGTATATACCAAAGATGAGAAGAACTGCTCTCTCTCTGTCTGTCTCTACAAGAGTGCCTCAACATCAAAGCACATGAAAGTTTTCCCACCCTCGCCTTTTCCCACTTCATCCCTAATGCCTTTAAAACTTTCACCATGAGAGAAAGGATTATAGTAACGTCTGTTGGGTCTTCTGTCGGTGATGCTTCCAACGAAAACTCACCGGAGTGGAATACGGAATAACATCTAACATATTACATTATACAGGTTAGAAGATTGTAGCGAGAAGACAAATTGAGACATGAGAGACTACATTCTTTTTTGTCTTTACACAAAAACCAACAACCAAATAAGATAAACTTTTCCCCATGTAGACCCTTTTTTGCATACACGCCACTCGCATAAGGTAAGCAATAGAATTTTTCACATTTGCTGTGAAAGCTCAGAGGTGAAAAAAAAATTGAAATTCCCCGTGAGGCTTTCGAGTTAAACACAGTGTTTTTCATCCTGTCCTAAAAAATATTCACTTACTAAATTGTATCATATGTGATTTACCTTAAGGGTACAACAACCAACCAATTGAAGCTGTACAATTGAGCAAATACACCATCGTGATTCATGTTTGCTTGATGTCATTTATTGCTTTTAAAGCAAACAAAAACACACACCAACATACATTTTGTTTGTACATAAAACCATTATCCCTATTACACTTTTGGAAAATGAAATGTATGTGTATGTGAAGTTCGTAGTGCAATTTTCTCCACAGAGAATTCATTCGACAAAAGTTTGCTCTTTTTCACAGCGCACATGGGAATTCTCGCAACAAAATGAATTTTTGCATCGCTTCTCAAACAACTCGTCTAGATCAATAGCTTCACAACTTTTTTTTTTGTTCAGAATAATACGATTACAGTTTCTCTTCTTCGTTGAATAATATGTAGTTATTGCAAATTGTTGCAACTTCAAATATGTTGAAGAAACTCCGAACATTTATCATTTGAAAACTTACAAAGAGAAATTTATGCATTAAAATTAATAGATACATTCACGTTAAAGCTTAAGGAACTTGCAAATTTCCCACTTTGGAACTTGAAAATGAGATAAAAAGATAATTCAAAGTATTTTTAGTCTTCTCCCCACAGCTTCTAATTAATTTTGATCATTATCACCAATGTGAATTTAAATTGTGCGCTGTTTTTATACCCTTCTCACCCCATCATGCTAATTAAATGTAATATTTAGTAAAGTTTTATCATTCTCCCCACAGTGACATTGTGAATTCATTTCAGCATTCAAATCGTTGCTCCATTTTTAAGACACATCAACAGAGGACAGTGTGTTAAAATGCTATAAAGTAGAATTTTATACGTGACGATGAAATTATGAATTCGGGATAAGTCTCGACGTGATTTTCTTGCAAGCGCTGAAAGTGTCTGCTTCTGGCATTACGCGCAGTCAACATCAAAGAGAACTTTTTCAAGAAATAACATTGCTTCTTGTTTCCATAATGTGACGAAACACGAAGTAGTCTGACATATCAAATGCTACGGATTCGCACTAGTGAAAATGGACATCAAACCATAGACGATAAACCCCGTGTAGCGCCAAAATTTACATACATCGCATAATACGCAGTTCCAAAGACTACTATATGACGGGACGGATACTCACCCTGTGTCTGTTGCTGCCGCCCAAACTATTCTGCCTCGGCAATGGCTCCTCGAGGAAATCCTTTTGTGATATTTGTCCGGATGATGGCGATGGTGACGTGGGAGACGCAGTCTGTGTCGTTTGTGCCACAGCAATTTGGATTGAAGCTGAATTCATTTTATATCACCTCTCGCACTCCTCCGACTATTTCCTCTCCTTCCTCGATAGCACTACTAAATATCTTAGTTTTTTTCCCTCTTGCAATGTTCTTCTTGTATAAGAAATCTGAAAATAGACCACGAGAGACAAAAAATCACATTGAGTCTTCATTTTCATTCAAACCCACAGGCATTTCAGCTTTCCCGCTCCTCCATGCCCCCCCCCCCCCCACTCGCCCCGGCTCGTCTGTCAAGATATTAAATTATAAAATATTTTTATAAATAAAATAATTTATTGATGACACCGCCCGCCATCGCGATTCAAGGCAAGCCCACATGAACATTCATCGTAATTTCCCGCACATTAACTGCCTGCTCATATTAAGCGCGTGTCCATTTGCAAAGCTTTTTCCAACCAGACATATTTAATATAATCTTCGCAATATTAAAATTCATCTTAGTTGCGAAGATCACATAAAGTATGTACACCAGCAGAGACATTAGATGAGAATGCTGATCCGGGGAGTGTGGGCGGAGAACAGCTGTGTTAATTATTTCTCTGAGATATATTCACTTAAATATTGCATTGCAGGAAAGATATATTTCACCAGAGCTTTCACTCCCATGAGAAGCTTTCTCTCTCTCTTGTGGTACATTCATCTTCTCGTAACCATCCCTCAACATAAAACAGTCAAGAGAGACTAATTGCAACTTGACGCACTCAAGAAAATTGCAAGAATGCGCCATAAGACAACAAAAGGAACACTATAATGTTCAAGGAAAAGATTATCAAGTCTTTGTGGCAGAATACTTCGCAAGACGCTTATTGCATGTAACTGAACAACTTTGGTAAAGCTTCAGAAAAAATTAGTGGGACAGAGCGATAAAACGCACTCTGCAAAGTAATCACACTCTGTCCTATTTGGAATCCCATTTTTTTTGCTAACTCAAATCAAAAACACTACCAGGAGAGAATCTGCGAGCAATTTCAACTTTATGCAAATGATAGAATCACATTCTCATCTCCATATAACCATGTAGTAAATGCAATATCGTAACTTTCCTTTATGCTTGCTTTTAGTTTACTTTTAGGTAGCATTTTGGGTGTATATTTTGAGTTTCACTCTACCAACATTACGTCGATTTAACTTTATTCTCCCGTATATACAAGAGAGACCATCGTAAAGCTCACACGAAAACTCTCATTACTCAACACAATAATCCCCATATTCTCTGTCTCACCCTCGAAAGCGTTGAATATATTAAGTCGATTTTATGATTATTAACTCTACTGAAGATGACAATTTTACCGCTGAAGAAGGCAAGGCTTTTCCACGTACTAACTGTGAAATTTTCATATTTTCCTCCTATATTCTCTTCTCCGTCACGAGCGAAGAATAGAGATAGGAAAAACACTTTTTATTATGTTATGCTAGTGGTAAAAAGAGTCTCAATGATTCTAGAGAAAACAACATAAAAACTTACATTTCAGGCGATTTTTGTATACAAAGCGGAAGAATCGTAGATTGGTTATGTTATAATAAGATTAAATATTCTCTTATTATAATAGTCCTTTATAAGTTCTTAGAGTACGTATCTCTTTTTTTTTAAGTGTTATCATATATACGTAAGTCCTATAAATTCTAATTATTTCACATACTACAACTTTTCCAATTTCTCTCCCTTCTCACTCTATTCGCGCACCATCGTCACTCTCTCTCTCTCTTAGTGAGTCGTCAGGGAGAAAGAAGCAGGAAAAGAACTGGTTCACCTCCTTTTCACTACCAGCGAAATGATAAGTAAATAGAGGGTATCCGATTTTACACTTGAGTTCCTTTTCCACCTCTCGATTCTCGATCTCATAAACTTGAGAGGATTCCTCTGCCAGTGTCTTTTAATGCTTATTTATGCTTATGTGTTAAAAGAAGATTTATTAGAAAATTGGCAGTGGCGAACTATGTATATATTCACATATATATTATATCGTATTTATATTTTACATATATTCTCACATAAGATTTTATCAAAAACAAAATTTCACAAAGAGTATTATATTCGATTCGTTTTAGAGAAACTTTAATTCACTGTAGCTTAATTGAAATGATTTATTCATAGAATAGAAGTAATCACAACTTAATTGTATATTTTCCTCAAATATACTACTTGTAATCATGTCTCGTACAGTAATTCTCCCTCACTTGTCAGCAGCTTATCAATAAATAGCACTAATCACATACTTTCTATCACATATTTTTCTTAGACGTTATGCGTAATCCTCATTAGTATTTGTAAGGTTTTTAGTATAGGTAGTCTTTGAGTTTAAGATTATTTTCTCTTTATTATCAATATGACCTTAGTTGGTAAAATATTTAATGTAAATATATATAATCATCTTCATCTATTCTTTTTCTCTTTTTGCAATATAACAAGATTTAAAGCTATTTTAAAGTATATTCTTTTATTGTGATTATTTTTTTCCTTCTCAATTCACTCTTTTAAATTGTCCTTTCCCTCTTTCGCCTTTTGTAAAAGATAAATTCACCTTTTTTCCGTGTCCACACTTTAGAAATTGTCACTGATGGGCGCTTCTTCCGAAATTGCCATTGATTTGCGTTTTCAGTGTATAACTTGAGTTTTAAAAATAGACACTTTTTCGTCAACAGCAAGAATGAAATTCATTCAACACTTTACACAACAAGTTCTTCTGCTCTTTTCTCTGCTTCACTACCATTTTCATCATTTTTTTCATCCTTTCTTCGTCGTCACCAACCCACTACTTGGCAAAGCCCACTTACGCACACTGTTCTCTTTTTTTTCGAGAGAAATTAAGACAAAAAGAACTTTATGGAATTATTGAATTTTTATATGCCACATTTGTCAGACCATTAGAATTTCCAGGGTTCATCTGCTCACAATTATTCTCCCTTTTCACATTTATCGCAGTTTTACCGAATCAGTTCTCGCTTTAAATGTCGGAATATTCAAGCATTTTCGTGGGAAATCCACTCAAGGCGAATGCTCCATCTGCGGATGAGATCATTTCCCACTGTGATATTCATTTGAGAGCACTTTTCTTTTGTGTACTCTGCACAAATAGAAACACTGAGGGCTGAAAAAAGAGCACACACACACACACTGTGTCGCACAAGTATGGATTTTCTCACATTTGTGTGTCCTTCTCAGCAATACAAGGTAAATTTTACTTGACAACTTCAACTCTCACGCGCTACTTTTCCATCAAATGATATATTTCTCAAGATTTTCCGCTTCACCACGATTCCGCAATGATTGTATATAGTTTTCTCTTATATATATGTATAGTAGGAGATAAAGAAAAATGTTAATATCCCGTTGTATGATAACACACTAAGTTGCAAGATACTTCTCCTGTAGTGTGATGATGCCTTCACGAAGGCGCCAACCGAACTGGCTGGTCTCGAGCACACGACGAGGAAAATCTGATTTTCCTCTCCTTTCAGCCACACTGTATCTCCTTTGCTCGCCGTTTCTCCTCTATACCTTCTCACTTTAGAGCTCTGCCTGGCCGACTGTGCCAGGCACCCTGTCATCAGTCGAGAGGGGAATTTCTCTCTGACACACTTTGTGAAGAATCCCACAGTGTCGAGAATGAGCCAGATAGAATTTTTCCCCCGAAAGAGGATGAAATGCCCGTCACATCATACATCACAGAGTGAGACAGAGCATCAGCATTCGGAGATTTTCCCCCAATTTCCTGGCACACACCAGAGATGAGAACATACACGCACACCGTCACACAAATTATATCTCTAAAAGAGATGAACAAAAAGAACAGCATACAGAACAGGAGGAGAATCGGCACACGAAAATCCACTATGAACCACCGACCGAGCATGAATATTCACACCGACACACATTCACAAGCCAGAGCAGACGGAAAACCCAAATAATTTTCCCAATTCAATGCGAAAAGTCTACGAATTTTCATGTCAGCGAGTGAGAAAGAGAGAAATACCTCAATTTTTGGCCAACGCAAGCCACTCGGAGAATTTATGGAAACATTCTCCGATGCTGCAGTTGAATATTGACAGCACTAATTGTATTGAATCAAGATTTCAGAGGGCAAAAAAGCACAGAATACTTATATGCTTGTGCATATCTTGTCCTGACTAATTAAAGGATACAATTTCAACACTTTATAAGGGAACATTTGGAATAGAAAAAGAATGTAAATATCCTTTTGGGTCAACCGACCAATTTCCCCTTTGTTACCATCATTTATGGAAGAGTTTTCATCGCCAGAATTTGCCCTGTGACACAATCGAAAACTCCATTCACACAGTTTTCATGAATATTTCCACTTAATTTATCTGATCAGCATATCAATAAACTTCGTTTTCACAGAAGAGCATAAAGAGAAGAAAAAAAATCTATCAAATCTTCTACAATACACAGATATAATATCCTGAATGCCCAAGCGCAAATAATCCACCAACATCAGCGCACTTTCTTGGATAATAATTTGAACGGGTAGGAAAAAAAATCCATTGTTGCTGCCATGAATACACCACCTAAGAAGGGTTGGTTTTTTTTTCCTTCATTCACTGCCACACACCATCTCACATGTCTTGCATTGAATCCTCCTTTTCCTCATCATCGGCCAACCATTTCACATTCCTTTTATCATCCTCGCGAAAGACGCAAAACTCCTAACAATGTAGAATATAAAAATAACAGTTATAATAAAGCGATTGAAGAAAAAAAGTCCCCTTTTCCGTGTCGTGTGATGTTCAAATCGTAAAAACACGAATGTCCTGTACATTTGTGTAAATTTCCACATAAAGTGGCCATTCTCGTTTTTAATGTTATTACATCCATACTGTGGAATATCATTGTTACGTGCTCTCTATTCATTTACACTTACACTCCAACTAGCGCATTTACCTAGGCTCCTTCCCCTCTTTTTCCACATACAATGCTTATCCGTTTGGAATGCATATCACTCTCCTGACCAAATGCACTAATTAAAGCAGCAGAAAAGTAATTTTTACAATTTGCTGCTTACTCATTATTATTTGATTATTGCATTCCTCATACGAAACTCTTGCCGTCATCTCGAAAAATCTTGCACAATGATGAAATAGAATAAATGAGGCACTTAAAGCTCAAACACAGAATTCTCTTGCAACACGAAAGTTTGACGAGGAAAAAAACAAGGGAAAAACAATAAAAGGTCACACAATCAAATAAATACTCTAGTTTAGCAATATTGGAGCCAAATTTAGATCCTTCTCTATACATACAAACATAATATCGCTCACTGTGTGTATCTTTGTTGAAAAAGCAAGCAAGCATTGGCAAGAGAGAGAAATTAGAGTTTGAGGTTTGAGGAAAAAGGAAAACATCTCAAAGTATTAAAATTTATCTTCATGGGAAGAGAAAGAAGCACATATACACATTTAACACACAATGCCAACAATATAAATCACATCAGATTGAGAACGATTAGGTTTAACGCATGCGTTTTCCCTTTTAAATTCTCTCTGTCAGGCCAGAAAATCACAACGCACACAAACTCACGACAGCCCGTGTCAAATCAACACAGGCACATTTCCACTTTTCCTCCGTACGCGATGTTGGAAAATCCGCACACAAATGATTTTCTGCATTCAACCCAAATTTATAAATGGAAATAATTAAGGCCAACACTCTTTTCCAGCTAGATTGAGAAAACAAAAAAGAAGAAACTCTAATCTGAACTGTAATTAAACACATTCATTCGCTTGCATAAAGTTTTCGGAATAAATATTAAAATTGATAATTAGAATTCTATTCTATCCGTTTCAGTCTCTCACCTAAAACATCCAGAGACATCTGTCTCTGGATTGAGAGCCTTATATAAATTCTATGTATGTAGATATTGAGAGCAGAATGTGGGCCACCAGGACTCCACAAAATCAATAACTGCAGCACCGAAGTGGGAATATTCGAAAAGCCAGGCAAAATGGCACGAAGACTGGCAACAGCGTCACACTTTCCCTCCATTTTTCCCAAACACACACTCTCCCTTGACACTCATGTGCCACCACGCAATCGCGGGAGCGATATTGGCAGAGGAAACTGGGAAAATACATATAAATTGGAAGCAACGCAGAAAATCTGGACCACGGACGAGTGGAGGGGTGCACACACAGAGCGTCGTGTGTCCAGAAAAATCCTCCTCTCTCGCGCGGCATCCATTTTCAGCAGGCGGAAATATGGAAAATGTAGGGTGCTCTCAAAAATTCTCACATGCAAGCCTCGGGATTTCTGCAGAATACACAATAACAAGTGAAGGAAGTGAGGCAGCCCCCTTCCACTAGGATACATGCGCCAAGAAAACATCCCTAAAGTGAGAGCGAGAGAGAATTCCTCGTGCCCAAAAACCGTCTCTCCCAGTGAAGCATTCCAACACCACGGCCAGCATCCATCTCCCAGTGTCCTGTTTTTCATCTCCGACAGAGAAAAGAGGCAATACCCAAAAGTTGGTGCAAGGAAGACAACCTGAGAACGATATGGCGATGTGCAGCGCAACCAGTTAGAGAAATTTGAGAACATATACACCCATGAGTTTCGGAAGAAGATGTCTTGGGTTGGAAAGAGAGGAAAATTCTTTGCCAAGTAGTCCTGGAACCCCATGCAATATATACCTTCTTTGTCACCCTCATCGCTTCAGATACTTTGTTTGGAGCTGTGGAAGCACAATTTTGAGTATTTAGGTCAAGTGAATACAATCGCACTTCGATTTTTGCCAACTTCTCTCACTCTCTCATCTCAACCCCTTCTCGCAATTTTTCACCATCGCTCATTCACTCAATATGTCAATGTTTCGCTTGTTCTGCCACTCACTCCAATTCGTCATTTATATAAGTACACATGGATAATATATATGTAGCTAAATCCATTGCGCAATCAATATGCATCACAGTATGAAATGATAATGATTCCATCAGAATTAAGAGCTTAAATGCAACAGCATCAAGGTAATGGACTGGAAGACAGGTGCTCATTGAATTGAATATGACATTATTTTAAAGATCAAACCTTGGATGTGACACAGTGAAATGTCCTTAATTTCATCAAGTCTCGCTATTAGTGCTGCCCATATTTGTTGAGTGTTTTGACGCCACCATTATATGCTTTTAACACTTATGTTTGTCATTGATAAGATTTATCGGGAAAATAATCTTATCCTGATTCTAATATGAACAGTGACATAATTGACGCTTTTTCCAGCTTGGCTAGTTAGAAAAAGGACAAGCATTGTATTATCAAATCTCACTACATGATAGTCTCACTCCCTTAAAACCACATAAAGTGTTCATATACACATTTTGAGCCATACATAAACAGCATAAACTCAAGAGCAGCAGAAACACCAACTACAGAGCTCATTAGTCGTATGAATAATCAAAATTTGCATTTTAACGTGGTTCAAAAAGAAAGGAGTGAGAGAAAATGCATTTTATGAGCACAAGTCACGAATTTTCATTGTGCATAGAGAAAATATCCCAGAAAATGCGTTCAAATTGAACATTTCCATAAAATAACATGATATATAATATTAAAAACTTTTTTCCACACAGAAAACTAAATGAAGGAAAAGATTATGTGTACCATTTAGCACTTCAACCCTCCAATGAATGGAAGGTTAAAGGGTAAAGAATTTCGATTTTTCTCTTCTATTTTTAAAGCAACCCTCAATGTGATATTTAAACACGACAAAGTACAAAAAAAATGTTGTTGCTTAAGAGATTTCCACAGCAAAAAATCGATAAATGTTCATGTGTACACATTAATACACTTTTATGCAAATTTTTATTTCCCTTTGTTGAGAACTCGTGCTTAAGCCATCAATGCTTGACCTTTAAATTATTATATTGCCAATTTCCTTATTTTTAGCCAAGGGAAGGAGCCTATAAAAAGTGCAATTTCACAAAAGGCTGTATACAAACGCTCTTAAAATAGACATTTCACCATCTCTACCACGAGCATAAAAGTTCAAATGGAATGGAGGCGCCTGGTACAACTTCTTTTGCCTTTCATCTCTCTCTCCTTAAAAAATCCCATAAAATGCCTCAACTCACCACTCTGTATTTACATTATAATTTGCCATTGAGAATTTCCCGCTTGTAAATATCTAAGCTATATACCGACAGTTGTTCCTCACCATCTCAATTGGCATCTCATCATAGACCGAAAAATTTCGTTTAGAAGAAGAAAAAAAAAGAACACCACAGAGAACAAAATTGTTCGGATGATAGTCTCAGGCATTCAGCATCAGTGGCCAATTGTAAAATTTTCATTTCGAAAGCCACCGGCAGCCTCTTCATCGCTAACCCGCAATCCTGGCACGAAAGCACGCCAATTCAACAATGATGCCTCTGCCTTTTCGTGGCGTATTTTTGGCGTCATTAATTACCATTGGCAACAATTTGCCCCACAGTCTCTCACTATACGCCAAATATTCT